TATCCATCGTCTGTCGTTGTGATGTTTGAAAGAGCAGATCTTACGAATGTTACATAAACATATTATATTTTTATGACTTTGACCGCACTTTCTCTTGTCAGCAATATGTAGGGAAAAATTAAGAAATTTTGCTAAGCGACTGCTTTATCAGAAATTGAAAATTTTAAACAATTAAAAATAAAAAAACTGTTGATATTAATTTGGAGTGCCCCCGCTAAGCATTCGCCATCTCGCTAAATGTGATAAAGTCGTGAATTCGACGAGAAAAATTTTGTTATGGCTAATGATTTTTCTTACAGAAAAGAAAAATATATATTCCCTTTAATCCTGGAAATAAAAATGCCCAAAGGAATTTTTTTGAACAAATCCTGTATTTTTTATTCGATTGCCGTAATTTCCGTTAGATATGTCACTTAACCAATTAGAATTGGGCATACCATAGCCTACGTCACAGGTCGTGATATTCCTACTAAATTTATCTAGCTTAAACTTTAAATCTAACTAGCTTAACTTTAAACATGAGACAAACTACCGTAAAATACAGATAACCAAGTTCATTGCCGAATCACGCGATATCACGTGAGGAAATTTTTCCTGCCGTTTGTGTCAATAAAACAGATTAAGTGGTAGCAAGATGCATATTATCCAATTATTTTTAAAGAAGATATACTTTCTTGTGACAATAACTCGACAACAACATAATGTTGTTTCAGGTTTATCCTTATATTACTGCCCTAGTCTTAGAAGTAATCAGAAATTAACCGCAACCTATTCTTATTCATTGCGCAATTACTCCTCCCCAACTGCGATTGACCCTTGATTTGAATTTGCATTTTATGAAATAATTCAATTTATATTGAATTTATATTTTGATTTGAAGTTTCTTTGAAGGAAAAAAATCAATCAAATTGAAAAATCAATTCAATCAAAATCAATTTGAAGGAAAAAAATCAATCATAAAAAATTGTTACATTTTTGGCCTTTGGCTGAGAATTGAATACTTTTGATATTTGGCTAATTAATTAGCTAATAATTAGAAGTCCTTAGCGCGGGTCTTGATTATGTAGGGTATTATTTTTTTTTGAAGCGTTTTTAAGAATATATTAAACATCACTAAGTTCATTTCGAAAATAAAAAAAATTGTCATAAACAAGCATGGAATAAAAAAAAATTTTTCAGAAAATTATAAAATACTCGTAAATTTATATTTATTAAAAAAATAATAATAAAATACGCATGGGCTGCATTTTCGATGAAAAAAGTGGCGATCAGTTGGCGTTTTATTAAGTCGTTACCATTAATTTTGCCCTACATATTTTTATGATTTTAGTCCTCTCTCTCATGTCAGTGATTCATATTTTGGTGATTTAATCTCTCTCTATGACGTCACCAATACATACTGTGATGATTTTTAACCTCTCTCTCATATCAGCAATACATATTTTAGAGGGGCCTGGATAGCCTGGTTGGTAGGGCACATGTCCAAGAGGTCGTGGGTTGGATCCCCGCAGACCGAAGCCTCCCCGAGTAGTAAATGGTGACTGATGCACGTTGAATATGTCGAGTCTCAAAGTCCTCCATGTTTCCATAACAAATCATACCTCTGGGGGTACTGATCCAGAGTTTCCTTGTCTTCTGGATTGGTTCAAAATTACAAGGCTACGCAGATTTTCATTAATAGTCGTAAACCCAAAATTGGGTCGGCTATTCCACGACGGTTATAAAATGAAATAAAATACATATTTTAGATGATTTTAACCTCTTCCGTCAGCAATACATAATTTTGATCTTAACCTCTATCATGTCAACAATAAATAATTTTAACCTCTCTAGTCAGCGATACATATTTTTGATGATTTTAACCTTTGTATCAAGTCTGTAATACATAATTTTCCTCCTTTATAATCTTTTTTGTCGAGTTTTGAAATAATGTAGTGTCTTAAATGTTTTAAAATTCTTGCATTTATTTTTTTCATAATTTTTTTTATGTAAAATAAATGATTTATAGTGAGCAATAATTACTTTGCTCAATTGTGTCTATGTTTTGAATAGTTCAAACTTGTATTTTGGCATGGGAAATTTCAATGGAAGAGTAATTCATAGCGTTTGTTTTTCTTTTGCCAGCTCTATGTGTACGCATATATTTCAAGAATTTATTTTTCTCAAACTATTTTCAAAAATTATTGATTTCAAAGCAAATTAAAAAAAAAAGAAGAAAAGAAATTTGGTTGGAAAATTTGATTTAAAGAACGAGTACAAGCAAGCAACGGCTGAACTGAATCCCTCCGTAAACGATGTTCTTATTTTTTTAAAAAAAAGCTGATTCGTTACGTAATACCAAATAAGAGGGTAAGCAGCATCAACAGAATGATAAACTTTTTTTCTTAAATTCGAATTTCGTTCGCGGAAAGAATGCGCTATAAAAGCCGTGCAATGACACCGAGGTGGTCGTCCTTGCTCTTCAAGAATGAAAATGTCAAGGGATGCCTTTTTCAGAATCAAATATCGCCTGAGGCATCGATTTCACAGGTGACTTCATCGACTATTCCGAATGTTTTTGTTCTTTTCTTACGTGGTGTCGTGCATGATGTTCATAGAAATTATTCTTCGTGCTTGACTATTCAGAGCACATTCATTATTAAATCTAGTTGAGCAGTGGATATTCATTAACTTAAAATAAAAAAGAGTATATTTCTTCTAACCGTTTATAGAATAAATTTTTTTTTCTAGTAATAATGTTAAAATATTCTGAGGTTAGACATAAATTAGATAGTATGGACTAAACTATAGACTAACTTTATTTTATTTGTTCATTGATATTTTGGTACGACTCCTTCTATTTGTCTATGGTTGTCTTTGTAATATGCTTTTATAAATAAATGATATTAATTATACAAAGTTAAAGTATTTTTGGGATTGAGATTGATTTATATAAAGTTTAAATAAATAAATCTAAATTTATATTTTAAAACTTATTTTTTCGGCGAGACAGTGGGTGGGAATTTTTCAAAATTTTATATTTTCTATAAAAAATTAGCCATAAACTTGAATGTCATAAGCAATTGAATTTATAAATGCTTTATCCATAACTACAAAAAAAAAAAAAACATTTGGAGAAATAATTAAATGAACGAAAGTATAACACAAGCGAACATAGCTCCCCAGTACCTGCGTCCTTTCTTGGCCCCAACTTCATTGTTAGTCACATTTACGTTAACAGCTNCACAGGTGACTTCATCGACTATTCCGAATGTTTTTGTTCTTTTCTTACGTGGTGTCGTGCATGATGTTCATAGAAATTATTCTTCGTGCTTGACTATTCAGAGCACATTCATTATTAAATCTAGTTGAGCAGTGGATATTCATTAACTTAAAATAAAAAAAAGTATATTTCTTCTAACCGTTTATAGAATTATTTTTTTTTTCTAGTAATAGTGAGGTTAGACATAAGTTAGATAGTATGGACTAAACTATAGACTAACTTTATTTTATTTGTTCATTGATATTTTGTAACGACTCTTTCGATTTGTCTATGGTTGTCTTTGTAATATGCTTTTATAAATAAACAATATTAATTAAAAAAATTTAAAGTATTTTTGGGATTGAGATTGATTTATATAAAGTTTAAGTAAATAAATCTAAATTTATTTTTAAAACCTTATTTTTTTGGCAGGACAGTGGGTGGGAATTTTTCAAAATTTTAAATTTTCTATAAAAAATTAGCCATAAACTTGAATGTCATAAGCAAAGGAATTTATAAATTCTTTATTTATAACTACAAAGAAAACTAGAGGCGAAATAATTAAATGAACGAAAATAGCTCCCCAGTACCAGCGTCCTTTCTTGGCCCAACGCTAAACTTTATTGTTAGTCACATTTGAGTTAACAGCTTTTCATGAATTTTAATGAATCTGGTGGAAAGCATACTTCCCACTGCCCTACAAGGAGTAAATGGATATCTATACATCTATCTGAGAACACTTTTCAAACATTTTGTAGTTAAGAGTGTAGTTTCAACAACAATAAATACATTTCGCCTCCACCCCCCCCCCAAAAAAAAAAAAACTATCTAGTCTAGGAACCATTGCATCTGAGTTTTTTAAATATTCATTTTCCTGGAAGGCATCTAAGACAAATTCATGAATAAGTTTTTATTCCTAAGAACGCCTTTAACGGGACTAGAAGTGAAGAATTCAGCGTTTATGGATCATTGAGTAATCATCTAAAAAAATTTAATTAGTAAAAAGAACAAAAAATAACATCAAAAATAAATTTAATGAGAATAGAAATTTCTATAAATATTAAAAATAGATTATCTTTTTTCTCACACCACCAGCGTGAGGTCACTTCGAGTCCTAAGAATGTGGGGACATAGACGAATGCCCCATCTTTGCGATGACTTTGGGCTGAATTACGTGTAAAAAACGTTCGCCTTCCAATGAGGTGAACCGGGTTCGAATCCCAGCGATGGCTGATCGATACGAATTCTGCTTCTGGCTCTCACCGACCACAGTGCTGACGTAAAATATCCTCATTGATAGAAGGATCACGGGATTTTGCCGTCAGGCTTACTGTGAGAGGTCTTCGTGATTTTCTTCTCCATGTAAAGCAAATACGAATTAGTTCCATTTGCCTTCGTGAAGGACATCTTCACGAAAGCACATTTCTCACTAAACTTAATTCAGGAGTTCCCTTGTGTTCTGGATTGGGTTCAAAATTACAATGCTACGGAGTAGTCGTAAACCCATTAGTAGTCGTAACAGTACCGTACAACCATCCCAACAACGTAACCGCCCCAATTTAGGGTCGCAAACCCTAAATTTATTCGGCTGTTAAACGACGGTAATTAAATTTCTGCTAAAAGTAGAAAATATAGAGTATAAAGTATTGATATGATTCTGGAATGCATTTTATGGATTTTGAGAACAAGTAGCATTAGCCTAGTTAGTTTTTGAAACTGAAGTAATTCGTATTTCCATCTTTTTTTTTTTTCGTTTTAGATATGGCACGGTCTGTGATTGGCATGTACATAGTTGGCTTTTTCTTCATCTTCATTTCCTTCTTCACTGGAGTGGCCGGTTGCTGGAAACGATCCAAAGGAAATATATTGGCCACTGGATTGCTTCAAATGCTTGCAGGTATTATTTCAATATATTTATTTGATGAAAAACACAAGGAATTTTTTTTATTTTATCAAACAACCTTGTTTCTTTTCGATACAAAATGCCATAAACATTCTGACACTTAAAAAATAAAATCTTTTTACCACCAAATCTCTCTAACCGTGAGCCTTAAAACTCCAATTTGGTCTGGACCAGAAGTTTTGTCCTTTATATTTATTCAAGACCAATCAGAAACTATCCCCTTCATCTTGAAAATATTTAAGTTCTCGAGTGTCTTCAGGTTTATTATAAATTGCTGAGCGGAGAACCGTGGTGGCTCAGGGAATAGAGCGTTCGCCTTCCAATGAGGTGAACCGAGTTCGAATCCAATCGATGGCTGGTTGATACGAATTTCGCGCCCGGCCCTCACCAACCACAGTGCTGACGTAAAATATCCTCAATGGTAGAAGCATCATGGGTTAGAGTCCCCTTGACGTCACGCTAACCGTAGAAGTTTTCGCGGATTTTCTCTTCACGACCGCAATAGCTGGTTAGTTCCATCAAAAAGTTCTCCACGAAGGCAAATTTCTCCCCAATATGATCCAGGAGTTCCCTTGCCTTCTGAATTGGGTTCAAAATGACAAGGCTATGGAGTTGAACATTAGTAATCGCAGACCCAAAAATTGAGTCGGCTGTTCAACGGCGGCTATAAAAATTGTTGAGCGGAAGATGAACGGATGTTTACAATGACTATACAAGATAAGGTCTCTTATTTGTTTGTTGTTAAGACTACTTCCAGACGAATAACAAGCTTCAAGATCCATTGAGCCAAATAGTAGGATGATCAAAATTGCTTTCAAAGAGAAGATGTGAAAGCTCCTGAAACTAAATGCCCGAATTTTCATGGCACTTATGTTATAAAATAATTATGTTTGAGATGATTACTTTTTTTGGTATTTGCTTTTTTTTATAAGTAATTTTTGCACTCTTTTCTTTTCCATAATTCAATAAAGTGGAAAAAGAAGCGATGATGCAAGTTTATTTAATTTAATAAAATAAATAAATACTTAAGTAAATACCAAGGGAAACACTTTTTTTTTAAGAAATTCCATAGAAAAGCAATACAAGTGTAGTTGTATTGAAATAAGGTAATAAAAAAAAGCCATACTCAATTATGTTACTTACAAGAGTTACATTACTTACAAGCTAATCAAAAATCTTAAGGTAATAATAAATATTAAAATTTTCAAATGTTATTTTTCTTATAGTGTTCCTCCAATAAAAGTTTACTTTTTCAATTTTTTAAACATTTCTGGTAAAAGAGCGTTTTTTTTAAAATACTTATATTGTATAGACTTATATAGTCGTTAACTCTGTTAGGTTTTAATAATTACTCCTACTTTAATTAAAAAATAATACTAATTTTTATATACTTTTTTAGAAAGTTTTCTAAAATTGAATTCCTGTAAAAGAATCCTTTTTAAACTTTAAATTTCATAATTTTTATCGAACTTTTATTCTTCCTTCCATTTATATTAACAGCAATAAATTTTTTTAACAAGTTAAAACAAATTGACAAATATAAGTAAAAAAAAAAGTTATTTTCTTCTTCTTAAAACTCAGTATACAGAAAACTTGTTTCAAAACGCCATGATTTTCTTCAGGAGTTATAACATTTTTATGTATTTGTTTCAGCTCTCGTTGATGCTGGAGCAATGGGATTATGGCATGGAGTTCATTACTACGATTACCAGAAACTCACAGATGAGATGTCCTATTATAACTGGCCAGATGTAAGAACACAATCATGGTTTTTAAAGACTTCTTTTTACATTACTATAGCAATCAAGGTTTTTAAAGATTTCTTTTTAGATTACTATTGCAATCAGGGTTTTAAAAGATATATTTTTACATTGCTCTTGCAACCTTAGTTTTTAAACTCTTCTTTAAGGACGAGCAAAACTGCACAACATACGTCCCACCAGCACTTAGTTTGTTCTTTAGTATGCTTTTTTTATACCATGCATTTTGTTATCTCAAAATGTAGCTGCTTTCATGAAATTCTGGCTACTAACATTTATAGCTTTCTTTCTTTTTTTGCTTTATCACAAACGTAATTGGCATGATATGGTTCACAGTATGGTTTAAGTTGTGCAGACTGGTTTAGAAATACAGTAGATATTACTGATGTATGCGAGAAAAATAGGGGGGGGGGGTGAGACAATGCATACCTTTCCTAGTATTTCAAGTATAATTTCAGAAACCTAGAACTAATTATGTATTTCAGTACACTATATATTATTGTAAATAATATATGAAAAAATCATAAAGATCTACTACATCTTTTAGACAACAGTCATGCTTCAATAAGCTCTAAAAATTTCTTCAAAATGAATAGAGTGAAATACAAATAATAATCATCCTTTTCAATAAGTAGAGTTTTAATTTATGAGGATTTTAAACCGTTTTCAAGCAAGATTAAGTCATAACTTCCTTAAGTAGGCGCTGAAAAAAATAATTATTTTAATGGCAGGCATTGAACTTTTGTTTATTTGCCTTGGAAGATGCCGGAAGTATTGCTCTTTAACGTTAGCCACATTCACACAACAGAGAGCAGCATAGAAAGAAGCATCCATGCCACAAGGGGGATTCAAACCTGCAACCAATGGCAATCGTTCGCCATCTGGCCGGTGTGTTTAAAAGATATAGGGAAACTTACAGCATAGTTTGTTTTTAAATACTAGTTAAATATTATTTATTCTGCATTTTAAAATACTTAATTAAAGCAGCTCAGAATATACAAGGGTGATTGTGAGCCCAACTCAAATATCCTGAAAATTTCTTGAGTAAATTCATTAATGACACATTCCAAAAAATTAATGTCTTTATGAATTTAAATCATTGATATTTTCAAACCATGAAATTCTAACTAAATTATGCGCAGCATAATTTAAATGAATAATTATGTATAAGTTTAATTTTATCTCTAATCATATTTATTATTCTACCAGAAAAAATATTTACAAATGAATGAGATGCCAAGTATAAAATCTAGTTCTGATATTTTTAAATAAAATATACAAGAATTTTTATACACAAATGTGATTGATGATTTCTTGAAACTTTTGGATCTTGGATTTCTGGACCACGGTTAGCGAAAAATCCGGATTTTTGCCAGAGCACAATCATTTCTGTTTATAAAAATAAATTTACTGAGTTAAAGACCATTTAACTTAATTTGAAGTGAAAACAACAGTCAGTTTTTAGTGATTCAAAGAATATTTGTTACTATGAAGTACAGAACAAAGCATACATAAAAATAAAAAAATTATGAGATTTTCAATTTGTTTTCTAATTATATTTATCTGTATACTTTTTCCTTCTAATTATATTTATCTTTATACTTTTCGTCAATAACAGGTACTGAAGATGAGTGGCGTGACTCAGTTCTTTTACGGATGGTCGTACATTCTAGCCTGGATTGGCGTGGGCATGTGCCTTCTTACTGCCATTCTTTTCCTTGGAGCAGCATGCTGTGTCGTACACGAGAAAAAAATGGAACAAGCCAAGAACATGCAATACCTCATGCCAGTATATCCCGACAAACGCCAACCTTATGGATATGGATATGCTTATCCGGGACCATATTACACGCATGGTTCACAATATGGTGGCCCTTACAGCTATTAAGAATAGATACTTATAAGAACTTTTGAATTAATGAAGTGCTTCCTCACGAAAGCCTATTACATAGACTTGTTTAATAAAACTGTGCCAGATATTTTTAAGTGTTTGGAACATGTTTCATGTTAGGCGATGGGACAGAGAAAATGTGTTCCAATATGCATTTCTTTATTTTTTTATTAATAAAACTTTTTGGGAGTTCATTAATTTCCCCAGAATCTTTTTTGGCTGGTAAAAAAGTTTAAAAGAGCAAGCCAAACGAAACAAAAATTTTAGTGGCTTTTTTTGCCATTCCATTCTAAATATATATATTTTTTACGCCAAATATTTAGGAATATATATAAATAATTACTACACAGTGGTACATATACAGGGTGTTCCAAGGACAAATCTGCTTACTTAAACATATTAACTCTGTTTACTAAAATAATTTATTATCAGCCATTTTGCATATTTTAAGCTCAATTTTCTAATTATATGTGTTCTTACATTATAACTGATGGTATCATAAAATGCAAGAATAAAAATTTTTTCTAAAGAGAGATAAACGACTTATAATTAAAAAAAGAAAAACATTCAACAAAGTGGAGTAAGCTAGTTTTATTGTAACTAGAATTTCAGTAACAAAGTTTATATAATATATAGTTATTTCTTAAACTTTTTATGTTTTCAAATCATCTTTTTAAAAGTAATCTTATTTGAAATGTGTGGTTTACTAATTTTCAAACATAAAAGCAGCCAAAACAAGTTTCTAATGATAAGTTCTGTATTTTACTATAATAGCATAAAATGAAATAATTTAAATCTTGGTTAAGACACACTTTAACACTAAGTTGAATTATTTTTTTGGCTTCTTTAGATATGAAGTTGAAAATGTATGTTGATAATTATGATACGTAATAAATTTTTTTAAAAATAATATTAAGTTAACATTTTTAAATATAGTTACTAAAATACCTCTATAAAAAAATCTCATTGTATCATGGTTATTGTACAGCATTTCAGAATATTTGAATGCAAGGATTGAGTTAATTTTGTTTCATAAATAAACTATAGGACAATAAAAAATAACTATTTTAAAATGTGTTTTCAATTAAGCCAGAAAAGAGCAATTCCGGAAGTAATAAATTTTAAAATGTCAAAACATTTAGAGAAAAAGGTTGTGGTTTTATAGTTTGAGTAACCATTTTTGCCTGCAAGAAATCAATTTGTTCATCTTTTGATTTGTGTTTGTACATAATGTCTCAAAAGTAAATGTATATATACATATTATGTACTTGATCACATTCGTGCCTTTTAGAATTAGTTTAAAAATCATTTAATGGCCTATAATTTGTGACTTTATATGTGTGTTTCATTCTTTTATTTTTTTTCTACAAAGTCTTGTAAGAAAATATTTTCATTATAAAACTTTTGTTTGTTTTATACTTTTCAACACTTTTTCATGTTTATAGATTATTTATTTATGAGAATTGTCGCCTTTTTTTAATGACTCAATATGTTGTTTTGAAGTTATTGTGGTTCAGATATGTGTTTTTTGTAAACTTGTTTGATTTTCAATAAAATCAACATTAATTTCTAACGTGTCAATAAGTATGTGTTTCAATACATGTTACAGAAAGAGTAAAACTAATGCAATGTCTTTTAATTGCAGTAATACAGTAGGCACAAAGGTGTAAAAAAAACACTGTCATTCAATGAATGTCTATATTTAGTCTAAGTTAAGAAAGAATGAAAGAAAGTGATTAGGTCATAAAAATAATGTAATAGCATAGCTGTTAACATACACAGAGAAAAAATCCAGTAGATTTTACGAAATATAAATTTCATGATAAATGTTGCATAATATACTGAATATTTTACAATTAGGGAATTTTAGGGATTTTTGTTAACAAAATACAAACTTGATTACACTAATAACTATAAATGGTCTGCAATATTTTCAAATTATGAACAACATTCAATGAACTTTTTTATTATGTTAAATCATAATTTTGAATATTAATAGACAATTTATTGAGTTCTGAATAAAAATAAACTGAAAATTTTAGAAAAAAAAGAAAGAAAGAAAAGCTTTAAAATTATTATTATAAATAAGACTTGGTTCATTTTGTATTAATAATACTTATTTAAATAGTCAAGCAAGCAATAAATTGTGTAAAAATTCTATCTCATTAGGGATTTTTTTTTATAGGAAACTTACTCAACTTTAGGGAGTATTTTAAAATGTACAAAACCAAAAGAATTTGTTTAAACCAGTAAACTACTGGTAAATCCAGTAGAGTTGGCAGCTATGTAATAGGCAATGAGATTTTATGCAAACAAATAAGTTTTTCCTCTTTTTAGCATTTAAAAAAAAGAATCTTTTTTTTATTAAAAATATTGTGTGGTTTAATTTACAAAATATACACGTAAAGATTGTATATGTAATACAACAATAAATAATTTATTTACAATAGATATGAATATATACATGGAAAATTATAAAAATTGCAATATTGGCTTGATATGAAAATGAGCTGCAAAAATTAAATTCTCTAATAACTGTAGAACACAGGGCATTTTAAAAGTAACATGTAATGATAACACAATTAACTTTAAAAAACCTTGTCAAATATCACAAATAATTTATATTTTGCATGCAAAAGTCTTATAATTTAAAAAATAATTGCCAGCAATAGACTCCGATGACAACAGCTGAAAATTGTTTAACATGTGTTGTGTTTAGGAAAAATGCTGAAGTAAAATTATTGAAGGCTTTTTCCAAATTGTAAGTCCTAAAATAATAAAAAAAAATTATACTGTAGCATAACATAAATGTTATATGGGCAAAATTGTTGACACAATTTGAAAGATCACGCTTCAAAAGCATTTTTATATAAATAACCCAATCCTATAGCATGATTTCAAACTTGCCGGTGTTAAAGCTAAAAATAAGTTAACAACTTCTTCTTCTCATTTTGCATAGTTAAAAATGGCGACATTTCTAAGAGTTTCAAGCATGATGTTTTAAATTGTGCCAAAAGTTTTGCCATGTAAAATCTTACAAAATATTAGCTACTAAGAAAAAAACAAATTGTTTACATAGAGTTATTATATAAGTATTTCCATATTTTCGTACAAAATCTGTATAGTCAAAGCTTTTGCATCTTAATAAAGTGAAACCTCCCGAAATGACCACCTCTGTGTAGTTCCCTATTTACGACCATTTTTGGGAGGCATGGAATTTTTTACATAGACTTTGTATTGAAGAAAACCTTCAAGAGAGGTTATCGTAACCTCTCCAAGCGACCAGGCAAACCTTTGCACCAAATGCGTTGGAAAAATATCAACAAAAAAAAATATTTAAAAAACAAATAAGTATGTTCAAATGTATTGAAAATATTTGCGAGTTGCTCTTATTTACAGAGCTCTTTTTGACGATCTCTGAAAAAGATTGACAACCTCATGTTACAGTTAGAGTGCCCTAAAGACAATACTATCAATTATTTAGTTTTAGAGTTGAAAGTTAAATGAGAAAAAAAAGTTATTTTATAAAAAAAAATAAGCATTTCAACAAAACAAACCTCTCATTTTTTTAAAGTAAACTAATTTCCATGATATAAAATTATATGCAAGCTTTAACAAAAACCTAATTGCTTATTTATTTAAAACAGGATGCATAGCCAAATCTCTCAACAAAGAATAAGCACCTTTAAAGTAGCACTCAAAAAATATTTTTAAGCACTATATACATTAACAAAATGCAATAAATTTTCTAAGACTTTACACGATCATGATAAAATAACTAGTTTCTGACAAAGAACTTGATTATATTATCAAAATGGACTCTTTTTCTCGATTTCAGAGGGTGGAAAATGAAGCCTGAAATTGAGCACATCTAGCAAAATGCAGCAGAGTTGCACATGAGAGTGCAAGAATTTCGCAGACTTATGTAACAAGATTATGTAACTGAAATATGTAACAAGATTAGTGCTATCATACGTTACAGACCGACATTAAACCAAAATGGATTGTGATTGAGTGAATTGTGAAAGCGTTGAATAGAACAATGCGAAAAACACGCTTTCACGTAATATGCAGCAAAAATCAACATGGTAAAGAAAGAAAATCTCATTTTCCAAAAGGGAAAATCAAGCACTTTTTAAAAAGGCCCCATGAAAAAGCACCTATTAAAAAAATAATTCGAAAATAAGCCCTTTAAGCACTTTTTAATATGTTGAATGCCACCTATTTTTACATGGTTGGCCAAAATGATTTTCTCAGTATGTATTGCATTAATTGCTCCAAACCATTTTAGTAAAGGTAATAATATAAAAAAATTAAAAGCATTAAAAATTTACTCAAATTATGTGTTTCTAATAATCTTGGATTCGCCGGTCACCAGTGACCCTCATATTATTCAACGTGTTAAAAACGCTATGCACCATATAAAATAGTTCTATCATTCATAATTGGTACTAAATTTGTTTTTACACATAATTATTTCAGTAGGGGTCATTTTTATTGAAATTAAATTTTATTCATCAATCTGCTTTTCATGAAGCCAACATAATCGGCATATCGCGCCAAGAAAATGAAACTGAGTAAAATTAAAATCACATGCAAATATCATGTACTTTAGCAAAAATTTTTAAGTCAGTGGGAGTAAACCTCTAAGAACGACCAATCTTCATTAACGACCATTTTACTGAGGAACAAAGAGTGGTCGTTGGTCAGAAGTTTCACTGTAATATATGAGATATTAACACTTTTTAAATGCAGTGCACCAAAACATTTTCAAGAAAAAATCATTAAAAGAATTAATTATATTAAAAATGTAATGTTAAATTTTTACAAAACGTCAGCCAATTTCAATCATTAAAAATATCGATATAATTATGAGATAAAATATCCTACACATTTAGCTCTAAAATTACCAAACGTGATACTTCTAAAATGAAAAGAAATTCAAAGTGTAAAATATTTTACTGAGTTTAAACATAAATGACCTATTGATATTTTTATTTATTACGCAGCAACTACTCCATTACAAACGACTTAATGCTTAATCAAACATTTACTTAATTGGAATGAAATTTTTTATACCAACTTGTTTTCAGGAAGTTACAGCTACAGACGCTACATTTTTCATTTCTTTCGAACTTTCATTTGCAAAAGCTTCATACAAAGTAAACATGTTATCTTGAATTTCATCAATCTTTTTGTCATCCAAGTCTTTACAAAATCCCTAATATAATTATTACGAAATAAACAAATACAATATATATATAACAAACACTCTATACTGTATACTTATATACAAAACAAATACTATATACAAAATAAATAACAGTAATAAGTGAAATTTCTTAAATTTGAAACTTTTTATTTGTGCTTTAAATACAATACGGGGCATTAAAAATATTATGAACTAACAGGGGAGGGTTCATTTCTACTATTTTAAGAATCTTTATTTAAGTTATTTTATTTTCTCCCAATTATGCTATAATATTTCACGGAATAAGATTAACAGCGGAACTTCCAAAATTATGGCAAAAATTACTTCCGACTGAAACAGAGTTTAAGTTTTTGCTACAGATGAAAAATTTTTTTTCTTCCCCTTCTGGCAAAAATGTTTTTTTCTGAAGTTGCAAAAAAAGAATTTGCATTAATAACATATGGAAACAGTTTTTAAATTTTTTTTCTCCCTTTGTGGTTAATAATTTGCTTTTTCACACTCGATAGTTTGGGTGAGCATTAAAAAAATATGCATAGAACTAGAAATGCACAGGTTGTTTTAATGTCCTTTTCAACTGAAAAAAATAAAAAGAGTATTGTTAAAAATTATCTCAATAATTTCTCAATCTTAAATTAACTTATTAATCTCAAAGATATGAATCTATAAAAAATATTAATAAAATCTTAAAGGAAAAAAAAATTTAATATGTTATATTGAAATAGGTTTTAGCAGTGCTATTCTATTCTAATCATTGCTATTCTAATAACATGCATTGTTTTTTCGATTTTTAAATTAATATAACTTATTGTTAAATAAATAATTAAAATATTAATTTAAGCGTTGTATTTATATTATTATTATCTCTTAATTAACAAAATTCAATGCTTTTTTTAATTAGGAATTTGATTCATTTTTTTAAAAAATTGACATTGATTTTTCAACTGTACTGGCAATTTTGTTTAAAATACAAAAGGCAAATAAGTTTCTGTAAAAAAGATATCTACAAAATAATAAATAATTTATTAAAAACAAAAGATTACTTAGAAATTTAAAAAACAAACAAACAATTAACAGGCTATAAAAATATTCTCACTTGATAAAATGACTGGGTAAACAATTATAAAAAAGTGGTACTCACTATTTCAGAAAAAAGTTGTATAAAATAGATAAACTATTATTTATGATCGTGATGCTTAATTAATTGAAATAATAAATATTATTGGTATTGTGTCCTAGATAAAAAATGCTGTGTTAATAAGTACCAAAAAATATGGGTACCTACTTACTGTGGTAATTACGACTCCCTGAAATAAATACATATAAAAAAAAACTTACCTTGTACCAAGGTTGAATCATTTCCATTTCATCGTATAGTCCATAAATGTACAAAGTTGCATCGATGCAAGCGATGGCGATATGGTCTGCTTGATAATTCAAGCAAGTTCTATGCAGATAGAAATCAGATATAAGCCTTATACAAGTATTGCTGATTTCACCACTAAACTGAGATACTTTCCAACTTCTTGAAAAAATCACATGCAAATAAGGCACAAGGTACTGAAAAATAAAAATTATACTGTTAAGAAAAAACAATGCTTATTTCAGAATATAGTCCAAGAGTGTTGCATGACAATTTCACAAATGTTTATCAAAAATTTAAAACACAAATGTAAGTCAAAAGCAGGGTTGGCAAAAAACATGACTTTTATTTAAAAAAATAAATAAAAAAATCTTATTTTTTTATTATTTAAATCGGATTTTTTTAAATATATATATATATACCAATCAAACTTTAAATAAAATAGATTCGAGTTGTTTTCTCAATTCGTTAATTTTTGTGTCCTTAAGTTATATTTCTCCTTCAAATATTTATTTTCATTTTTACTGGCATGTTTTGCTAAAAATATTTTCAAGGAATAAAAAAAAAATATCCATTCGATGCATTGTGTATTTAAATTATATTAAAAAAAATAAATAAATAAATAAAATACAGGTAAAATGTCATTACTGTCCTGTGTCACCAACACAAATTTCTGAACTTTTTAAGTAATTTACCATACAATGAAAGTGTTACAATGCATATCACTGTCCATAGTATGATTGATATTATGATATAGTATGATTGTCTACTACAATATTCTTAGAATAATTTGTATATTTTATTCTATCCCCAATCTATTTTGCTTGTTAGTGAGGGATACATAACTTTGTATGTACCCCCAACTTATGTGTAATCACTGTCCCAAGTACGAAAAGTACCAGCAAAACAAAATAGATGATTCTAGTTGAATAAAATATAACTTCCAGGTTAAAGAGAACACTCGTCTCTACAAAACAGGTTAAGTTTAATTGCAGTATCATTACTTTTAGGGTCAACAGGTGTAATTTCCCCATAAAAATATGTTGGCTAGACACAAGTACAAGATCTATTTTTAACTACTCGATAGAAGAGGAAGATAAACAAAAAAGCAAGAATAAAAATAACTACTTTACTTTTGATTTAAAGCAAATTGCAAACAAAATTAAATATACTATACATAAACATTTATCTAGAAAAAAGAAATTAAAGGAATTAGGGGAAGGGATATCTATTTCAAATTAATGGAAGTGAACTATAATTATGACGTCAAACTTTAATTTTGAAAAATACACAGAAATATAGAATAGTTTGGCCATATTTGATCTACAAATTAGCAAAATGCATAGCTCATGTGAACAAAATGGAAGGATTACTCTCTTCTGGCAATGGATTAAAATTTAGAGTATGCTTTTAACTTTGTAGATGCACATGTTTAACACATTGTAACCAATAAACTTATTATGAATTCTTTGAGCACACAGCTTTGACTATTACCATATTTCATTGTAAAGTAAGTTACGGATGACTTTACTCAGTAAAAGATAATGCATAATAAATAAAAAACAACAACCTAGGTTTATTAATTTAATGACTTAGAGAAAGCAAGGCACTCCAAACACTTTTATGTAGTTCAATTTATACAACATAATAATAGAAAATTATTACAGGAAAGCTTTATTTGCATAATTGAATGATTCCATCTTCATTTAGTTTGATAGTTAGCCAACTCAATTCTTGATCAATAATTAAGACAGGAACTATATTATCAGTATTTACAGTTGAAATATTATTTTAAGACTAGTTAATATTTCGAAGAAAAATTGTCAATTTTCCAGCCTAAAATCTAAATTTCACATCTCATTAATGAAAATTAACTTTTCACAGTACAGTAAGAGTAGACATAAAAATTTACTTAACTACCTACTTATTTTTGAATTAAAAATGTTATCATCCTTTTTTAACAATTACATTTTTCAATAATAGTGTTTTTTTGAAAACCAATTTTTAAATGTCTGAATAAAATATCATTAGCATCTTCAGTACCTATTATTTTAGATTCAGGGTTCATACAGAGATCAGAAGAAGAAATCCAAGGAGTATCCAAGGAGTCCAAAATTTTAAAAACTTTGCGTAAAAGATAACTAGACAGTTTCTTTTAAATTAAAAAGCAGTTATTATAAAGAACTTGCAAAACTGTATATTTTGCATAAGGTATTTTATTCTAACCCTTCTGAAATAAATTTTGACTTTGTGAAATTTCATCAAGAAAAATAAATAAAGTTATCACTTTCACACATAAATAAATACATTTTCCAGTTTCAAATATTTTAATGAATCTTGTTAAATTACATAGTACAAATGTTGAAGATTAACACAAAAACCTACCAATCTTATATTTTTAAATTTGAATACATAAGAAAGTCTAAGGCATTTTATACAAAAAAAAAAAAAACATCATTAGTTAAGTTTGCTTGTAACATGTAAAATTAAAATTATTTGCTGTTATTTTTTTCTTCTAACTCTAGCAATTCAATTTTTTTCTTCTTTTTAAGTTTTTCTTAAACTATTAGATTTTGATAGCTAAGTCATATCATTTTGTTTCCCTGCTTGAACAGCAAATTCATCAGCGGACTTAGTAAGTTCATCTATGCAACAGAATAATCTAAGGAGTTCCTAAGGACTAATTTGGAAATCTAAGTAGTTCCAAGTACTCCTTGGAGACTTTTTTTTATTTCCAAGGAGTTTCTAAGGAGTATAAGGAGTCTGTACGAACCCTTGATAGAAATATTTTATAATGAAAAATGAAATTTCATTAAAATATAAAAGGTCTTAATTTTGTATCTATCTATTCCTGTAGTGTTGAAAAGAGGGAACAGATTATATGCAGAGTAATTAAAGGTTCATAATAAAAAATAATGAATAATTAGTGAACATAGTTCACTAAGAAAATACTTTGAATTGCTGTTAGTTAGAGATGTGCGTTTTCCAGAAAATTTTCCATAATTCTCACATTCATTAAAGGACATTAACAAAACAGGAATATTTTCATCAACTCTGAATATGATGCCCCTTTTGAGTTTCCCCCTTCCAAATGAACATGTGATGTTTTAAAACAACTATACAAAATGATTTTCTTTCTATTAATGATGCTTTGATGAAATGTGATCAGTTTATACAATCAAGAATTTAAGGTAAAAAAACTAAGTTTTAGACAATTTTGATTGCAAACACTTTTCTAATTGTGTTAACACCATGATTATATGAAGATAATGCCGTAATATTCTAGGTCGCTCTTAGAATTAAAGAGCACAGGGTAAAATCAGAATTGTTGCTACTAAGTGAAGATTCTGCGAGTGTAAACACACACTTTGAAAAGGAAATATGGAAAGTGCGATTATGGTTGACACAAATGTACCAAAAAATTGCTTTTTTGACTCTTTAAAATTTTCTTAAACATAGTGGAAAATTTTCCTTTCCACACCACCAATTGTAATATAATCTTGGGGGTCCGAAGTTCCAGATTAAAAATACTTGAAACCAGTATAGGTGTCAATGTTATGGCTTAAAATCACACATACAAATACAGGGCTGCTAACTTTCCATACTTTTTGGAAAACTAAGTGTATGATTCTTCATTTTCTAAATTTGATTTAAAGTTATTTTCCACACCACCACATGGAAATGATTCAAAAGATCATATAAGTAACCATTTTGTTCCATCTCTCATGGAGAGGTTTGTAACACTAAACATACCAACACTTAATATATACCTATTTCTACCATAGCCGGTCAAATGACCGGACTGTTTCTTGATTGAATGTATGAAATAGAGATGTTAAAAAGGAAATAAACTAAAAAAAAACTTTATTATAATTAAACAAAATTGTATATTGACAATTTTTATGAATTACAAACACAAAGAATAAGAATTTTTAATTCATTGCTCAATGCATTTTTTACCTATACAGGGTGTTTCCATTGTACATTTTCCGCAAACATATTTCTTCTAATTATTATTATTTCTATAATTCTTATAATTATAAGAATGTATAAGAATCATAATACGTATAATTATTCTTATAATTAATATTATTTCCAGGAACTTGTGCTGTCTTAATTGTTTCGACATTTTTCTGAATAAAAACTAACAGTTAGTTAGAAATGAAGTAAAACTATCAAATAAAATATAAGCTATTTAACAAAACATTTAGTTTTTGTCACTTCTTCTTGCACAAAAATGCCAATCTAAAATTTTAGATACATTCTTGAAATTTGAATTCACAGTTGTTCTGATTGAACTAACTAAGCAACAGTCTTTTCAGAAATGTGCAACTAATAGAATGCAATACGTTGATCATGCATTACATTGGAATTTCTGATCCGATAACTTTATAAATCAATTAAGTGTTCTCCCGGTCAAACGACGAGTTGTGGTAGAAATAGGTATACGACAAGTATTAATCTAAAAAAACAAAATACAAAATAAAACTAACAATAGAATATTAACTGTATATAATTGTTAGAAAAAGTCATGAAGTCAAATGCAAAAACGATAAGCTCATTTTCAATGAAAAATTTCTTAAATGGTCACACTGATTATGGTATGTTTAGTGTTAAAAGTAGTGCAAAATTTAGTGAAAACTCTGAAAGCCTTAATTTTTAATTGTATACCACTTTAAAAAATATTTTGCAAAAAGTGTAGTAGTTGGAAAGCCTGCATTACATGTATAAAAAAATAAGTATGATTCTAACACAAATCTAAATAGTTTTTTGGACAGTAATTCTACAAATCTACATATGGTATTTAAAATCTCTTCACTTTATTACAATATTAAATTAAGCAGATTTTGAGATTTTTTTTATTTTTATGATTTCAGTTTGAAGTTGTAAATTTTCATAGTCTTGTTGTGTGGTTTTTGACAGTCATCATAATGCATTTTTTCACTATCGTTAAAATCTTTTAAAATCTTTTAACTTTTAACAGACTCTTATTAAAACATATGAATTTTGAAAAGTGTACAGGTGAATTACATATTTTTTTTGTCAGTAAATGCTAGGGATTTTTTAAAACCTTGATGTTGTTAAGAAAACCATATTACTGCAAAACACAATCACATTTGTGGAATCCTTTTTTGTCACGCAATATCATCATAAATCCACACAGTTTAACGATATTTTTTCCAGCAGTTATGGATTTTCACATGGTTTGAAAGATGTAAAATTTCAGGGTCAATGGTTATTCATTCATGAATTCCTATTTTGTTAATCCACATAAGATGGGTGAGTTGCAGAAGTTATAACAAAACTCTTTATAACAGAAAAATATATTTAATAACAGTAACGAAGAATGATGTAAATGTTACAGTGTCTGAATATTAATTAATAATGAGAGATAATCTGTGAAAATACGAAATGTGATTAACACTCCTCCAGCCCAGTCGATCAAGTTTCAGTACATTACAAATGACGTAATTCAAAATATCAGTCTAAGTTATGTTTCTCAAATGTGTAGTAGCATTACCTTTAGAAAAAATACACAACTTCCAAGATGAACAGGAAAAAATCCAATAGATTTTATGAAATAATATAAATTTCATGATAACTTTCGATTAACCCCTTGCCAGTGTCGCCTAAATCAAGTTTGAGCAACGTGCAGTATTTGTGATGCCCGAACTGACTTCAGGCAGGAGAAAAATTAACGTTTCTATTTTCTGAAGTCTGAGCTGAATTCGTTTCTACTTTAGGATACTTAATTCACTATTTTCCTAATAGATGGCATTAGTGGTCCTAGTTTTTCACCGATTACGACTTCAGCCGAGGACAAGGAGTGTGACAAGGGCTTGAGTGCAGTACCATGTTTCGGGGTATACCATACTGTAAAAGATTTGTAAAATTTATGTATTGAAAATCCTATTGCTGTGTTTTTATATTACATCATACTAGTTATATTATATTTAGCTTCAAAATTTTGTTTAATTTGCTCTACTTGAATAAGATGCATGTGTACTTTTTTATGTGTANAAAATTTATGTATTGAAAATCCTATTGCTGTGTTTTTATATTACATCATACTAGTTATATTATATTTAGCTTCAAAATTTTGTTTAATTTGCTCTAATTGAATAAGATGTGTGTGTACTTTTTCATGTGTATGTAAAAATTATAAATACAGTATCTATTGCATTAAAAATTTTATTTTTGTATTAAAAAACCAGTTTCTAACTTTTATAATAATACAAAGAACAAAATGAAGGAGTCAAAAAACTTTTATATTTTTCAGAAATATATATCACTGTTAAGGGGTTAATATACTAATTATTTTACACACAGAGAATTATAGGGTATTTTATAGTCATTATAGTGATAATTTTATAGTATTGAGTACAATATTCTCTACAACTGCAATATTCTCGTTATGACTGAAATGAAATTGAAATGTTATAGATTATGTTTACTCATAGTTTTGAATAGTAATAGGCAATTAATGCATCAAATACAGTTAAAAGATTCTTTTAATAAATTTAAAAAGGGAGTTCTGAATAAAAATAAGCTGAACATTTCAGAAAATAAAAAGTTTTAAACTGACTTCCATAAATGAATCTTACTTCATTATGTATTAGCAATACTCATATATTCAAGCAAGCAATAAACTGCGTAAAAATTCTATTTCAATTAAGGATTTTTTTTAGGAAACTTAATTTTAAGGAATTTTCTAAAATGAACAAAAACCAGAAGAATTTTTATTATACCAGAAAACAAGGAGAAACTGGTAAAATCCAGAAGAGTTGGCAGCCATGAAAATATTATATGATTTTCAATACATTATTATTACAGCAATGAATTTTTGTATCCTGCCTCAAACTTAAATTCATTATCTATTTTTTTTCTTATTATGAGCAGAAAAAAATAAGTCTAGATTTTAGAGATTTTTGGATTTAAAAAGTTTGGATTTCTGGAGTTATACTACATAACATTCAGGAGGAAAGTATGTTGCATTTAATTTTATATCTGAATTACAGTAGAAATAACCGTTAAATTTACATGAAAAACTTACCTGGTGGGCTAGTTTATGATTTAAATCAAAATCTAGTGTTCTCATCATCACATAATCAAGTGTGACCAATGTGTTTTTCAAAACTAAAAATTCTGAATCTTCTGCTTTCAACACACGGGATGTTTTATTTGCTATACTGGAAAAAAAATTAAATAAAAGAATAATTTTACTAAACAACCAAATTTACACAACGTTTAAGAATCTAAATAGATTTGTAGCATTTTACTGCTTAACTTACAAGTTTATTATAAAAAAAATATTAAGAATTAATTCTGAGCTTTCTGTTTTTAAAATATATACAATTCTGTTTTTATTTGCTATGTAAAAAAAATTAAAGATAATAATTAAGGTAAAAAAAAATGCATTTATATATATAAAAATGCATAAGATTTCTGTACCTTGCTTTCTTGCATGTAAGAGCACTCTCAAAAAATATTTACGAACTAATTTAGAACATTCTGCTTCTAAAGCATGCAATGACCTATTTGTTATGCTGGGAAATTAATTAGGACTATCTTAAAAAATAATTTTATTAATAAAAAAAACAAACAGACAAATATCTGCAATTATTTAAAACATTAAATTGATTTTTTTTATGAAAAAGCACAAATCATTCAATCATTTCAAAAAACCAAATATATTTGTAAACCTTTAGTATTTTCCTTTGTCTACATAAGAGTGTTACAAAAGTATTAGAAGCTGTTTAAACAAACAAATACCTGCAATCCATTAAAAATTTTAAATAGTTTTTACTAAAAAAAAACAAAAAAAACCCACCAAAATATATTATATTATTTTAAGGTTGTTTTTCGAAGGTTTCATCGTCAAATGATGCCTTTTTGCAAATAATCTGTGCTATTTCATGACTGCTGTGAGTTTTTCAACAGTTACTCATAACTATTAGGACAAGTTCAGCTTATCTAAAGGTAGAGCCATCTATGCTTATTCTGAAAATGGCAGAAAACATTGATATGGTGAAAAGCCACAGTGTTGAGGAAATGAAAAGTGTTTGTGGTGCAGTTTTTTAATATTAAAAAGCTTACTACAATGCTGCACTATTTGGGCTAATTAAAACTTGCAAAAACTGAGAATAAGGTACTGATTTTGAAAATTTTCTTTAAAAAAGAAAAAAAAGAGTCACCAAGGAAAATGAAAAAGCTTGAGTTGAAATGCCTTACAATTGAAGCAATGCGATGATTTTTAATTATATATAATCTTGCTCTGAAGAATTATCTGTGCTTTAGAACAGCACGGTGCACCTTAACTAAAATTAAATAAAATGCTCTTACACCTAGAAAACTAGGAGAGATTCTGAATTTACAATGTTCTTAGATAATAAAAATCTAAAAATTAAAATAATCTGTGGAGAGATTTTTAAAAAAATCTACTTTGAAAATTTTTGCTCACGAAGTACGATATTTCAAAAATGTTAGCATCATTTTATACTTATAAATAGAAAAAAATAACATATTTGTATTGAATATTCATAATAACCGTTTATAATAAATTTTATAATTATTAGAAGTTTTTTAATTGTTAATTATAGTCGATGAACCACTATTTAAAAGAAAAAAATAATAAAAACTTAAATCGACTTTAGCGACACAAGCACTGTGAAATTAGCACGAGCACTGTGACCTTAAAAATGGCAGCTTCCATTCGCGTGTGTACACGAAGTAGAAAAGCAATTGAACCAGGATAAAAAACAAACTTAATACTACAGCTCATTCTTTCAACGATTATTTTGATTTTAAGGAATTTCCTTTCGTTTGTATAAAAAGCGATGAAGTCTCGAATGCTCATGCTCTTGGAGTTAACTGCAAAGATGTTCCTGCTTTTGTTCAGTATGTGAAAAATAAACGAGATGTACTGGATGTTCACTTAAAAATGGGTATTGATGGAGGAGGTGGATTTTTAAAAATATGTCTTTCTGTACAATCAAATGAGTTGGACTTCGAGTGCAGCTGTAAGCGTGCTAAGTATGATGAGGGGATAGCTGCAAGGAAATTTAAGGATTCTGGAGTTAAACGACTATTCATTCTAGCAGCCATTCCGAGTGCACAAGAAAATTATAAGAATGTAGATCAACTCATTTCAACGTTGAATATAAGTCCTTTCCACGGCACAATTGCAACCGATTTGAAGTTAGCGAATATCTTAGCAGGTATAATGTCGCACAGCAGCGCATACCCATGCACTTATTGTTATGCCAAGAAAGATGAGCTAAGCAGCTGTGGCGAATTGAGATCCCCCGAAAATGTTTCATCGTATTATACAAGTTGGCTGACTGAAGGAAAAGGTTCAAAAAACAAAGCGAAAGATTATTTCAATTGCATTCATCCACCGCTAATTGCAACTGTTGGAGGCAAAACATTCCTAGACATTATTCCACCGCCAGAATTACACCTTATGCTTGGTGTTGTTAACACTGTTTTCACGCATATGTTGAAAGAGTGTGAAAATGAATCGCTGACATGGACAAAAGCTTGTCACGTTCAGCGTGAAATCAGACGAGGATGTTCTGGGTTTAAAGGAAATGCATGCAAAACACTTTTGGATAAAGAAGAACTTCTGCACCAGTTTAAAAATCTAGCAATACTGAAGTACGTTAAAGTATTTGACGACTTCAAAAAAGTGGTTTCTGCATGCTTCGGAAATAATCTTGACCAAAATTACAAAGCATGTATAGAAGCTTTCAAAAAGAGCTACATGGACTTAGGTGTCAGCGTTACACCAAAGGTTCATGCAGTTTTTTTTCACATTGAACAGTTCTGTGACAAAAACGGTGAAGGATTAGCATTTTTTGGGGAGCAGGCGATGGAGTCCGTACATTTTGATTTCTTAAAGTCTTCCTGGGAAATTAATAAGGTTGCTGCAAATCTCCCGGATTATTCTAAACACCTTTCGAGAGCTGTTTGTAGATATAATGCTTCACATGTTTAAATTGATGTAATTGTAATTAAATTATGTTACATTTTCATTCTTTATCAGCAGTAAAATGTTTAAATAATAAAAGTTTAATAGAATTACAACTGAAAAATCATTATTAAATCATTTTTTCCTTTCAATAGATATAAAACAACGCCAGATTTTCCAAAATATCATACTTCGTGCGCAAAAATGTTCAAAGTGGATTTTTTAAAAAATCTCTCCACAGATTATTTTGATTTTTATTATCTGTTAACATTGTAAATTCAGAATCTCTTCTAATTTTCTAGGTGTAAGAGCATTTTATTTAACTTTGGTTAAGGCGCACCGTGACAGGCAAATAACTTAAATATTTAAAAATTAATAAATTTTTTTAAAAATTGCCAATTTGGCAATATTTTTCCACCTAGATGAAAATTATCAAAATCACTGCCTGATTCTCAGTTGTTGCAAAATTTTATGAACCCAAGTAATTCAGTATCGGAGTAAATTTCCAAAGATTAAAAAAAATTAGACTAGAAATGCTTTACATTTTCCCAAAACGGTGGCTTTTCTCCATATTGACGTTTTGTGCCATTTTCAAAATAAGCGAAGGTAGTGCCGACTAAACTTGACCTAACAGTCATGAGTAACAGTTGCAATCTCACAACAGTTATAAAATATAGAATATTATTAGCAAAAATACATCCTTTCATATTATGAGGGAACTATCTTATAACATTTAAAATATTTAAGTTATTTGTCAGTTCTAAAACTCAGATAATTCTTCACGCTAAGATAATATATACAGTTTAAAATCAGCATTTTGTGTCTTCTTTATTTTCCTTGAGGTCAGAGATTTGAAAAACCATGTTAAAAAGCCTAATAGATTCGTAAAATTTTTGTATTTCTCTTTCTAGCATATAAACTAGTGTTGTAAAAGTAATCTGGAATTGTTTGCTATGGATGGTGTTTTCTACACTAGGAAGTGCTGCAAGTTCTTTACCACCTATACTTCCAGGTATCTGGTGTATTTTGAAGCCATCTGGCTCAGAACATGATCATTGTGTTTTGAGATTCTTTTGAATAGTAGTTCTTGCAAACATTGTATTTGTTTATTTATTACTTGTGTTTACAAAGAATTCTAAGTCTAAATATCGCATGCAATAACTAATAAAAATGTAGTTATATAACATTTATATTGAAAACACCATTCATATTTGCCGAATTACATTACATGTTCAGCCGACTTATTTGAGGATAGTCAGAGAACTAACCTCGAATCAGAAAGGTCCCGAATTCGAATATAAACATGGATGGATGTTCACCATTTCTTTGTATGTACTATCTGTCCTTACAATGGGAGCAGCACTGGCCCACCTTATATGGTACCATTGAGAGAGCGGTAAAAAAAATCTGCTCTTCTGATACTTGAATAATGGAAGTCAATATCGTTGGGAAAAAATATTAAAAGATTTTAGTTGTCTTTTTATATCCACGCTTTTTATAAATAATACTTTTTAACCAAAGTATGTTCAAAACATAAGTAGTTTAAGGCTTCAACTAATAATTGCACATAGTTTAAATATAGTAAAAATAAGATAATTATAACTTTTTTCAGAAAAAAAGCTTTGAATGACTTTTTGATGAAAGTTAATTGGGAAAAAAATTTCATTTTCTAATTGTCCTTTTATGTCCACTTTTTTTTTTAAAAATAATATTTTTTAACGAAAGTATGTTCAAAACATAAGTAGTTTAAGGTTTCACCTGAAAATTGTACATAGTTTAGATATTGGAAAAAAAAATAATAATTTTTTTCCCCCAGGAAAAAGTTTTTTTTTTCAAATGCAATAATTTAATTTTAGAGTTTAGCTCTTTATGCATTAAAAAATAAGAGTGAAATTGATTTTCTTTTTTTTATTTCGTAAATACTTATAAATGTATTTTATAAACGTGTGTAACTTGCTGTACTTAGTCTTTTAATTTGTAAGGTTTTTGATATTGCTCTAATTAAACTGAGGAATAATTTAGCTATATTGCTAATTACGAAAAGAAATGAATTTATTGTGGAACTAAAAGCTAAACAGTTAGGATGGGAGGCACTTTTGATAGAAGATTGTGCACTTTTATTCAAGTCTTATGTAGAAATGAAGTATATTTAGTTCACTAAGATTTTAGTATTTTCAAAATGGAAAAGGAGTTAAAGGAACTACCAGCATTTAAAGTGATTTATAATTTTACCTAACAAAAGCAAATAACTTTTCTTTAGTCTTTTCCATACAATATTTATGACAAAATCAAAAAATTGTGAAACAAAAAGATTAAATTACTATTTTGTAATGGTAAAAATATTTTAATACATACCAAAAAAAAGTTAATAATATTGTATCCTGATCTAAAACTTGTTCATTTATTCTACTTGCTAAACTTACTGCTGCAGCTGCAACCATCTAGAATAAAAAGAAATTATATTATAACAAAATATAATTGATGCAAGTAAACACATTGTAAATACATATATATTATCTAGACCAGCTTTTCCCGATAAGTGCTTCGCGGATAGGTCACAAGGATTCCGAGAGTTATGGTTTTGAAACCTGTAACTATGTTTCAATTCTAGTAATAATCCATGTAATATAATATATAATAGCAATAATTTTAGAATTGAAAACCTGATTGGTTTATTTAAGCAGTACTATCAAACCAGAACTAGTTAAAATGTTCCCTAAGTTTTTAAAAATCATGAATTGTGTTTTATCAATACCGATTTTAAGTTCTCTTGTTGCAATTTTTTTTTCTGTTAAAATTATTTAAAATATTGATGAAAGAATCATAATTAAATAAAGGATAATGATTTTACATGGTAACAATGAACTGGATCATTCTAAAAGTCAGCTTTTAATTGATTACTAACTTTTTAATAGTTGAAAGAATTAGAATGACCACTCTATGTCACGAAACTCACCGGATGATTTGGCAATAAAGACTTACACTTTGGTCATATGAAGCTTCATTAATGCATCTCATAAAATGATGATACAACACTAATGCTCTTGATGTGGTTTCCATGCTGCATTCTAATTTAACAGCTGTAAGAAAAAACATAAAATATGAGAAAAATAGAACAATACCATGGTTACTCTTGTTACATCATACATTGTGGTATTGCACATCGATTTGCTTTTGGTAAATTTTATGAAAGGAAGAAATAAGTCTGTTACCATTTTTAAAAAATTTTTTTTTTTGCTCTAAAACTCAATTAAAAAGTTTTAATTTCAGGAAAAGCAATAAAAAGCACTAGATTAAAATATTTATATTTTTTATGAATAGGTTAATCAAGCTAGCTGTTTTCAGCTATCATGTCTGACACACTAGCAAATATTTTATAAAAAAGGTACTTTCAACCATTGAATTTTATAATTTCTTCTTCTTCGGCACTACAGTCCGGTACAGGCCAAGGCTGCTTCAAAAAGTTTTCACCATCTTGCTCTGTTAGTCACCATTGTCCTCCGTCTTCACTGATCACCTAAAGGTCTTTTTTAACGCTGTCTAGGCATCTAGTAGGTGGTGAACCTGTTTTGCGGGCTCCATCTGCTTTCGAAAGAGTTACTTTCTTGGCTGGTTTGTTATCAAATTTGTAGAGGTGTCCTAACCATCTAATGAGATTAGCTTTAATGACATGGACGATATTTGGCTGCTTAATGAATTTCTTGTAAATCTCAAAATTATAATGGTTGCGCCACTTGCTGCTTTCGTTAACAGCACCAAAAATTCTCACAATTTTCCGATTAGTAAGAGCTCAGCACTCCACCTCATTTAGGGCATCCATATTCAATGGCAAAATTGCCCATGAGCAATGGCGCGCTGCTGACGGTCAGAGACAAGCTAAAGAACTAAATCGTGACAGTCCTAGTGTACGCCAAAAAGAGCTTTTATAGCTTAATCGTAACAGTTTAAGGAAGATCATTGGACTTCTTACTGGACACTGCATCCTCAGAAGACACCTATACATAATGGGAATAGAATCCAATTCTCCTTGTAGGGGTTGTCATCTTGAAGAAGAGACATCACGAAACATACTCTGTGATTGTGAGGTCTATTCAGCTCAAAGATTTGAGCATTTAGAGCAGCATAGCGTCAATGCCTGAGAACTGCAATATGTTCCTGTAAGGTGCTTGTTGAATTTTATTTCAGCTATAGGGCTTTCATGCTAATCATGATTTTAGGGTTTGGTTGGGTACAATAAACCTCTGGTCGATGTGCCCTCGCCAGAGCTGCCCAACCTCTAAGTCTAAGAGCCCAGCACTCACTCCCATAGATTAATATTGGCCATAAAAGGATTTTATACATACAAAATTTTTTAATTTGACAAGGAAGTAAATTTTTCAATCCAAAGTAGCATTTACTGGCCATAGCCAAACGGCTATTGATTTCAGTAATGATGTCATTGTATTGAGTTATGACACTTCCACAGCTTTAAATATTTTATTATTTCATGTCTTTAAATTAAGTCATTTTTTGTGAAACTTAAATTTCTGAACCTAAGTTACATACCATTTCAGAGCAATTGGTCATAATGTTTAAGATACACTTTATTATTATTTTTTTCATCATGTCCGTCACAGCATATTTTATTAATTAAAATGTTTCTCGCTTAAAGCAAATGCTTTTCCCTATTTTTAATTGAAAGGAGTATAAGTTGCTACACAGCAAAATTCCTGAAGATATCTTAATATTTAGTAGCAAAAAATGGGAAAATAAAGTTGTCTGATGTCCTGTTTCTTATTATGGAATTGATCTTTTACTTATGAACTTATTATAAAGTGAAAAAAAAAGGTTTTGGGTAAATTACACAGAGGAATGAATATCTTTTATACTTATGCAGGAAAAAAAAACCTTGAGAAATTTTAATAATTTTATAGAATGGTGACTTTGAAATATGGTTACTCTTGTTAAGGACATGAGGCATTTAAAAATTTGCAATAATGATTGTCTTATCTATACTAAACTACTAACTAAACTCAGCGGCGCGACAGCCCATAGACGGCCAAGGTCTACTGTGCCCATCTCAGTTTTCTTGACATTGGGCTTTGGGGTGAAGGAGCAGATGTTCCGGTTAGGTGGTCAGCCGAACGCGGAACCCCCAGTGTTTAGTTCCCAAGCACGCTTGGTACTCATTTATCGACCCACTGAAGGGATAAAAGGCTGAGTCAACCTTGTTCGGCTCGAAGATCGAACCTAGGACCTGTGGCACGAAATACTATAATAAAATAACTTATTTTAAATTAGTTTAAGAAAGGAAGGTCAACTTATTAAATGACAGGTAAAAAGTTTTAAATGCAAACACATTATTTCAAATTGAGAAAAAATATAAGGAATTACGCAATGAGTAAAATTAACATTAAATGGTTCAAATTTTCCACTGCTCTCCTGATCAAACTATTTCCCAGATTGTGACTACACATCCCTGCTATATTTTGAGAAGCAGGAATCGAATACGGTAAAAGGAAAGGTATGTTATTTCAAAGAAAGAACAATTTTGTGTCTGAATTTGCAATTTAAATAGTAAAGTAATTAGCTAAGTAATTAGCATACTTTTGGTCACCATTTAAAACTATTAAGTTTGAGTTTTAAAGCGTCAAGATACAGATCAAAAGTTATTTAGGATGTTACTTTTTCTTTTGGAACATTGTATTTACTAAAGTTTAATGCTTTTACATTTGTTCTCAGAATCTTTATTTGTGGTCTATAGAATTTATGAAAATTATTATCTACAACAAGCTTTTGTTGTCTTGATATTTTTAAGTTGATGAGATGTAGGTATGCTGAATTTGATTTTAGCAATTTTATTAAAGCTTCAATCTTCTTATAGCTATTACAGTTAAAGTGACAAAAAATATTCAATAAACAAATATGTTTGTGGTAACTTTTGTTACAAAATTAAATTTAGAAAAGCTACAGACAAATTATAAGGATCCGTTTCAAATTATAGGCCATTATATAAATACAGGTAAGCAACATATCTATATTGATATTTTTGATTTTTAAAAAAAATATTTTTAATTTAGGATAAACTTTTATAAGTTTTTTTTTGTTGTTACATTCAAGGAACAATTAAATTGATCATTTTTATCACAGAATTTCATATTTTTTTTAATAATTTTTTTGCATTAACTAAAAGAAGGATACTGGCTAAATACTTTTTAACAAAGCAAACAAAATTACTATATGAATTAGTAATTGAAAATTGACATTAAAATTCATAAATTTTGGTACATAAAACTGTTATTTTCTAGACCATTTAACAAAACAAATTACAGAGGAGTATGAAAAATTCTGCCAGTTTAGTTTTCTTTGTAACTAGTTTAACTAAAAAATGATAAAGAATACGTTAATTCAATTTGAAGAATAAAAATTTATCTACTATATCTTTCAGTGAAATTGTTCAGTAATAATAAATACTTTGATTTGAATACTAGATAAATAAAAAAAAAAGTAAACTTATCAGCCAAATGCCACTTTTTTCATCGCAAATTCACCACATTTCCAATTTCTTCTTCCTTTTATTTACAGTATTAAATTAGCATGAACATTTTATAAACTGAATATTACCTTATTTTACACTTGTTTCTTAAAATGTTTATTTTAGAAAAAGCCTTTTAATGCTTACTATATTTGGAGAAATGCATTACATTATAAATATCAGCAGTTATTATAATCATTTTTAATTTTCACTTTTAGAAAAAGTGGCCAGCAGCAAAATTTCCTAATTTTGCTAAATACTTAGTAAAAAGGAAGAAAACAGCAGAAGTTACTATACAAGGGACAGGCATTTATAAGATACTTTTAAGAAAACAGCGCCATGTACTTTTTTGTTCACTTGTTTCTACGATTCGTGTAAGATCGATCTGTAAATTATAAAAAAAAGGACAAAATATCACGTATAATGAATGTTTTAGAGAATTTGGAATGCATTGTTAACAAAACTTGCTGTTTGAACTTACATGCTTCTAAAAGATGCTTAACACCTTTTTCCATTTTAAGATTGAGTTTCAAATTTAAAAAGTATAACAGCAATAATGTATCAAAGTATTTGCATTAAATTGGATTGAGTAATACACTATGCTAATTTACTCTCATCACATATCGAAAAAAATTAGATTTTATTTGTTTACTAAATCGATAATGCGTTAAAGGCTTCTTCTTTTTGTTCGAAATTCAAGCCATTCGACATATTTTGCGCCACTTTCCGCTGTTTAACTAGCCTCAACCATAAGCCACCTTAATGGAAATAGAGAGCTATAAGTTTATGCTAAGAGCTTGTCGCACTATTCTGCAATCCAACCTACAATCATTGAAATGAACAACTTATTAAATTAATTTGATTTTCTAATTGTGTTTCTATTAAATTAACAAAATGGGTATATTGTTTGGGAAAACCAAGAAAAAAGAAACGCGTGTGACTGAACAAGATAAAGCGATTTTGGTTTGTTAAAACATATTTATCGTCTGCAATATATGTTTGTTTACTTCTGCATCCCAGTATATTTCATGATTTAAAATTTCTCCCCTCTTAGAAACTTAATTGATAAACCATATTTTATTTTTTCATTTTATATTGCTATTTATTTTTTATTTTATTTACATTACTTTTTATTTATTTATTGTTATGAAGAAACTATGTGCGAATTATTTAATTTTAATACTAAATTTTTTGTGAAATACTAACATGAGAAAATATATGAAACTTTGTTTTGGTATCCTTGTTTTTTTTTTATTAATTATATTGTTTCAGCTTCTTTCTTTTATTGAACAATTTGATTAGGATTTTAGATTTATATGCATATTTTTAAATTAACAAGAGGACATTTGAAACTAACGAATTTGGTTAGTGTGAAAAAGCACATAATTTTACGGGAATACGCCATGGCCTTTACGATTTAAAACAGTAAAATTTGGTATGCGTAGTTTACCAAATAAGGTTTTTCAAAAAAAAAAACTTTTTTTTCTTTTTAAAATTCAAGATGGAAAATTCTATTTTGTTGAATTGATTCTCCAAATTTTTTTTACTGCTCTTCGTCTTTTTGTCTTTTACAGCAATCTATTTTTATAATTTACGATCTATAATAATTAAAAAAATTAAAGATGCAGGTGAAAAATAGCGCAGCAGACGCTCTCTTCTTTATATCTAAGAGGCCTTTGACGAATTCCTCACCTGCCATCGCCATGTGAGTAGTCTCTTACAAGTATGATACTGCCTCTCCCTTTCTTCTGCTGCACGTGAGAAGGAAAAAAAGTGAATCAAGACTATGCAAGTCATTCTCTAAAACAAATTTGCCGAGTGAAATACTGAAATGAATACTAAAGGTCAAATTCATTCCCACTTTCAGCCGAAGGTCAACTTTAATATTTTTACTGTCAAAAGTATAACATTTCGAAATTTAAAGATATTTGAGAAAGATGTAATAACATGATGAGCATGTGGATAAATAAGAATGCTTGAACTACTCTTTTATTCTATATTTAATGGTTTTTCTAACAATTTTAGCAGTCTAATCATTTGATATAGAAGTTTCTAGTAAATGGACATCTGGATATGGGACTGTGTACTGTTTATTAATTTAATATATGACAATGTAATTAAGTAGATTGTCTTCCTAGCTAATACCAATGAATAAAAACTGCACAACTAGGTTACATAAAAGTTCTTTTAATCTTTTGCATTTTTTGAAAATTAATCTTTTTTTATGATGATCTTTTTATTAATTTTATGTAGCAACTAAAGCAACAACGTGACAAGTTGAAACAGTATCAAAAAAGAATTTTGACTACTTTGGAATCAGAGAGAAAACTTGCGAAACAATTGTTGCACGATGGTCGTAAAGAGTAAGTAATATTATGAAGTATTATTGTTGTGTATTTGCTAAAATGAGGATTAAAAGTTGGTATAATTTCAAGGTATCTCGAAGAAGATGAATAAGATAAATGTTTTGTAAGTTAGGGTGCTTAGCGTTTTTAAAAAGTGCTTGAAGGTACTTATTTTTTATTTACGTTTTTTGGAAGCCCTTAAAGGTGCTTTTTTTGTTTAGGGTTCGTAAAAAGTGCCTAATTTTCTATCGTTTAAAAAGAGTCTTCTTCTTTGCCTCATTGATTGTCATTTTAAATGACAAAAATGCTTGATTTTTCACAAATTTTAAGGCGATATTTATCAGAAACTAGTTATTTAATCATGATTATGTAAAGTTTTTGTAAATGTTTTTGAATTTTATTGATTTAATATTTATAAATTAAGAACTTTAAACGATAGAAGGGAATAATTTTTATTACTGCACAGATCCTAATTATGATTTTTCTTTTGGAAAGTGATTAAAAATGTTTTTTTTGAGTACTTAAAAGGTGCTTATTTTTTGTTGAAAAAATGTAAGTGAGTAACTGCAATGCATTTATTATTGTATCTTTTTTTTTCTATTGAGTTTTTATATTGCTATATTTTTTATAAAACTTGTCTCTGAGATGTATCAAAACATGTTTAGCATTGCAAAATTTTATTATCCCAATATGCAATCTACCTGAGTAATAGGCATTTTATATTTTAATAATTAAGTTTTAGTTTTGCTCTTTTAGGGCTAGTGCATGGTATATATTTGCCCAGTATACCATTCACTGATTTTTTTCAAGGGTGAGTGCTACTGCTCAGTGTACAATTGTCCAATATATCTTACACTGATATATGTAAGGGTAAGTTTGACTGGCATTTGCCCAGCATACCATACAGTGACTTCTTTTTTTTGAAGGTTAAGTGAAATTGCCCGGCATACCCTACACTGTTACTTTAAATTAGTCATTATACAAGTGAACTACAAATTTCATTGGGTTGCAATATTTGATTCAACATCAAGTGGCAAACGCTTAATAAAAAATTGCCTGGGGGTTAGCATTTGATTTAGATCTTCAGTTATTATAAAATCCATGTTTTTTGTTAAAAAAAATGACCCTAATACGAGTGAACTTTGGATTAAATAGGATTGCAATATTTGTTTCTGTTTATTGGCATGTGACAAAATCAGTATCAATAAAAATGCATCAGGAGTAGTTGGCAAGAAAAAAGTTGCTGAACATATTTATAATGTAAAATATCTCTGTATATAATGTAAATATTATAAGGTTTATTTCTAAAATAAAGAAATATTTTGATAAACAAGTGTAAAATAAAGGAACTTTCAAACTATTACTAAATATTAATAAATCCCCTTTTATTAAATGACTAATAATAAAATGCACATGTGGCACTTTTTCGCTTAAAAAGGGGCCATTGGTCGACAACATTTTAATTTTCATTAGTTAGATTTAGTTGCTCTGTTTCCAGTTAAGACAGTTAATTTTGCCATTTTTGATAGTGCATACTTCCCCCCCCCCCATTTTTCTTCATATTAGATTTCAGTTCAAAAGTTTATGACTAGTGGTGTTGCAAATAGTAAACTTGTATAGCAAAGAAAAATAAATGGAAATCATGTCACAAAGTTTTAAACTCTTTCAATGAGTGAAACTCAAATATATGATGTTTTTTGAAATTTCCTGGGCTTATCATATAAAACAATACAATAATATGCCGTAGTGGTGAGATAAGATGCATACACCAAATGAAAAGAGCATACTGCAGCCAATTTTGTCCAAAATTGTTTCCATGCAAAATTACATACTTTAAAAAGTTGCAAAAAGTTTTATAGTTTACAATTTAAAATTTTCCCACTATTATTAAACAAAGCAATAAAAAATAATAAATGTTGGCATAAAATTAGTTTTCGCTTTGAATTAATTTTGAACAAACAAATTTTATAATTGCGTGTAAAAATTTTTCAATTCTTTTATAAAGTTCTTGAGGTCTGGCGAAAAACGCAAAAAGTAAAATTAATATTAAGGGGTCCAAACTATGAATTGCTCTCCTGACCAAACCATGGGCAAGATATTTCCCAGACTGTGGCTACCCTCTATATTTTGTCAGTCTGAAATCCAAATCCGTTCACGAAAAGGTATAGGTTTATTCAGAGAAAGTACATTTTTGTGTTGGACTTAACTTAAAGTATCTTTTGCATGAGTTAATTAGTTAATTAATTAATTTAAAATTGTTGATTTTTAAAATTATAAATTTTAATTGTATTTATGGTTTAAAGTATTTGTTTTCTGTGCCTAATTTACTAAAATTGCTCTTAACAGGAAAGCAAAGTTACTTCTTCGAAAGAAGAGATTCATGGAGCAAATGCTTACGAAAACTGATGGACAACTCATTAATTTGGAGCAAATGGTATATTTATTTTCAAAAGCACATTTATGACATTTCATTCCTAGAAATATGAATTAATTTTTATCATCCATAGTTAATGAGAGTTTGATTTTTTTTAATTTTATGAAATTAGTTTAATTTATAAATCGAATTTGGTGTTTATGAATAACACTAATCAGAAGAATCGGCAGAATTTCAATCACCCTGAGGCAGAATTTTTTAGAACTTTATGCGACAATTCTCTCTAATACTGATACCTCTCTGAAAGACATTTTTAATTGTAGAAAATATATATGTTAGTTATTTAAAGTACAGAAGCGGTTTCTGTCTGAAAAAAAAAGCCTTCATGCGTAGAACAGTATATAATTTTTTTAATTATAAATGTAAAAATTTTCTTTTTAAATCTAAATGTAAAAGAATACATGTTCTAATATTATTTGCGATATTCTCTTCTTCTGAAAAATATTTGTATAGTTAACATTTTTTAAAATTTTGTTGCTTGGAAATTACTTTTCATAGTATCACTCTGAAATTCTAGCTAAAGCCAATCATTGCTGATTTTGTTTGTTCTCAAAAGAAAGTAGAAAAAAAAATCAGGAGTGTTTATTCTACCTCCAGTGAGAAAAGCATTTTTTTAAATATAATTTTGCCGAAAGAGAAAAAAAGTTGTGCAGAAAAAAATTATAAAAATTTTGCTGATAGAAAAACCCAAACTTTGCTTCTCAAATAAAAAAAATCTTTCTGCATGAACTCTGTAATGTATTGCGACAATGTCGCCGGGAATCTGCCGTGGGGCTCAATCAATCATTTCTCTTGGAACTGTTCATTGTGAATGATAGAGATGTGAAAACGACGAATGTGGATCAATATTAGATTCTACCAGATTATTTGGAAGATTTTACTATTTTTTAATTGGAAATTATAGCAAATTTTATAATTTGCTTTTATATTCTTGTTTCAACTATGTAATTCAAAATCATCCTGACTATCACTACATCCACATAAATTAAGCATACGTATCTAATGCATAATGTTCAAACAATATGTGCATAAAAGCTCTGGCAAGATATGCAAAAATATTTCTGCCTATGATTCTCAATGTAATTGCCTTTTTCCTACCATTTGGAAATATTGTCCTCAAGATGAATAAAGGTTGCAAATATGAAGATATTATTTAATTCATAAAAAAATATATCTGGATTTCAAGTCATTGAGTTTAAAAAATTCATTTTAAATAAAAGTTTAATTTTTCTAGTGATGAGTCAGTTTTTTTTTTAGTTCATGGTTTTTCTATTAATCATTTTTAATTTTTTTGTGTAAACCAATGCTCCTTTTTAGATTAAATTTGGAAATAATAAAAGAATTATGAAAAAATAAAGATCTCAAATATTTTTTTGCATATTATCTGAATTCATTTATATAATTCTCAATAAACTATCTGTCATCAATTTAACTGTCTGCAGTTTTTCATCTAAATTATGTTTATTATTTGAAAATTTTAATTTTCAATTATGCTATGCATTATACAAGTAGAATTTCTACTTAGTTGGCATTTATTTTAAAAACATTTTTAATGGGTTGTTCTTATAACATTTTTCAAAGAATTATATTTTTTTAGTGTTAGAAAAGGATTCAAGATAACTTAACCTATTGTACTTTTATTTTTTTAAAAAATGACCTATTGTATGAATAAATGTATAATGTATACATGTATGTATTTAATTTTAAGCTTATGATATTGAACTCTAAATAAAGCTGTAAATGTTGTAAAATGAGTACATTTTACCAAGCCTGATAATTGAGTTGTAGTTCTTTATATTTTAATTAAATATTTTTTGTTTGTCAGTACTTAAGCAAGAAAAATAATTGTATGTATAATGCATACATTTAATTTTAGGCTCATGACATTGAATTTGCTCAAATTGAACAGAAAGTAATAGATGGTTTGAAAGTTGGCAATGAGTCCTTGAAATCACTTCATCAAGTAAGCTTTTAATATGACTACTTTTTAATCAACAATTTATACTGTTTCTATACAATTTCTTGAAAAAATAAATAAATAGAAATTTATTTTATGCTTCCAATTATGAAATAAAATTTAATAGATCAAAATGTATCTATTAAGCAAATAGATTGTCTATTTTTTACATTAATTGAAAACTTTTATGTTGTTGCTTAAACGAAATGTTTTTATGAAGAATCTTGTGTATATTTTTATGAAAAATTTCATTAAAATATTTATTAAGCAGCTTAGTTATTAATTTATCTTTCCCTATTCAAAGATTGTCACTGAAAATTCTTATACAAGGAAAATTTATTGGAAAACGTTTCTTTTCAGTTATTTAATTACTATAGTCAAATGAATGTGATTCAATTTTTTATGCTAATGTAGACTTAATTTTGGTCACTTTTATAACACAATAGTCATAACTTAGTATGTTAGTTTTTTTTGTACGATACATCAGTTTCTATGTGTTCTAATTCACTGTTATTCTAATACAGTTTAAAAGATCAGATTTAGAATGCTCGAAATTTTCTTAGATAAGTTTAAAATTTGTTAAAGTATTTTTTACTTTTTTTTAATACATTATCATTTATTAAAAAAAATGTTTTTTTCTCCATCTATTAATAGTTTAATTAAGAAAGAGCAAATTGTACTTACAAAGTATTTGCATAATATTTTTGAAATAAAAAAAAATATCTGTTTCACACTTGTTGTTTCCTTTACATATAAGGAAATAAAGAATTTGTTCATTTAAAAATAAAATTACAGCAAGTTTCTATTTTTTTTGGAGGAAATTATTTTTTATTAACCAACTCTAGCAATTGTTTCTCGTTCATTACTATTTATTTCTTCTCAAATATAAATATTTCCCACAAAAACATTGGGTTTCGAAATATACAATTATTGTAGCCTTAAGTAAAAACATTTTGTTAATGATAACTAAATAGACAATTACCGAAGTTTGAAAAATAATCATCGGTAATTGAAAGAAGAATTAACCTAAGAAAAGCAGATTACGTAACTCAATAACTAATAAATGAAGAAGACTTAAAACAATTCCAATAAGGAATGATTTTTGCTAATATTTGTTAAGTTTTTCTTATTTTTAAAAATTTTGTTATGATCGTTAAGATTAATATCTAGCAACATGTAGCCTGTCTCTCTCTTGCTACTTTTGATTGACATCTATTTGAGCGTGAGCTTATGAAAAAAAAATAATGATCTTAATTTTAAAAATTACGAGAGAAAAACAAATTTTCCACAATGATAGATAAATAGTCAATATTTGAAGCAAAAATGTTGAAAATCACAAAAAAGCAATTGAATTTGCCATAACTTTCAAACAAAAATGGATTTTAAAAAAAACTCTCATTAAAATTGTATACAAAAAGTTTTTATCAGTACATCGAATTTCAAGTTAGTAGTAGTTAAATTTCAGCAGACAGTAGCTTGACCAATATAGTTTGTTTTTACTGCAAGTTTTTTTACAGTTAATAATTCTTAAACTCTTTGTCAAATCTGAAATTTTTTTATTCTTTCGAAATCTAATTTTCTCTACACACTTTTGTAATTTTAAATTTCTAAGACTTTTAGATTATGAACAGCAAAGAGAAATGAACAAAAAGAAAAGTAAACAGAAGAGCATTTAAAATTGTTATAACTTTTGAACAAATTGGAATTTTGAAGAAAAAAACTCTGTAATATTCATAAACAAATGGGGCTCTAAGCATAAATTCCTACTCTGTATTTGTATTCCTGCGGCCTGTGGGGCAGATTGTATGATATTTTTTGCAACAAGCTTAACTGTTAGTAATTCTTGAACAAATATTCGATTGTTAAACTATTTTGTTCTTTTGTAATCCTTTCACACTTTTCTACACATTTTAGTAGTTTAAAGTGTCTAAGTCTTATAGTTATTACCCAGCAAAACAAAATGTGACATCAGACCAGCTGCTCTTACCAGGTCTTGATCCAGAGAGATTCTAAAACTACATATCTTTTAAACATAGTTTGGTTCTAAAAAAAAAATTCATTAATAAAAATTCAAAATATGCAGAATATTTCCTTTTTATATATAAATTGATTCTTCTGCTTTTTAAAAATTCCTTTTTATAGCTTTTTTACTAAAGCTTGTTTTTTCGAAATTTTTGATTAAGTAACTCAATATTTGAGATAATTCATCTTCTAGTTACTAAAACTTAGTAATATGTTGAAAATATTTATTTTTATGCTCATCTCAAATGTTATTTCTTTTTAACAATTACAGATGCTTTCAATTGACGAAATAGAAAGGATCATGGATGAAACACATGAAGGCATTGAGAAACAACAAGTTAGTTTTCACTTTTTGTTTTTTAAAAATAAAATAACTGAAGTTTTATGAATATATATATCAGGGTTAGGTTTTATTCATGCAAGGCATGAATAAAACCTAAGTGAATTAAAATAATCTTCTATTTAATGCCTATTTAAAATTGGCGGAGCCCAAATAATGCTCCGAAATCTGTGAGTTTGAGTTTTTATCCTGGGAAAAGTAGAACAAGTTTGTTGTTTTATTATGTTACGTTTCACTGAAAAAGGGAAACATTAATAATTATTGGTTTATTAAATAGGTTATAAAATTAGTATATTTGTTACCTATTAAACTGCATTAGTACTGATCAGTTTTAAAATAGATAATTTGGGAAGAGGTGTTTTATGAACCTTCAAAGGGGTTACAAATCAGAGAAAATTGTTTACTTGTAGTAAATTTTTATGATCATAAGTTGGCCCCAAGCAATAACATCATTTCAAAAGATACTGAATACAGTTAATCCTTATTCTGATAGGATGAACTACAAAAAAACATGTTTTTCTTAACATAAAGCCACCAAGTAGTACAATAAATAGTACTAAATAAAAAAATAATGGAATTTTTTAGCTTTATTAAATGTGTTGGTAGAAGTGTTTCAGTTTTTGCATGAATTCATTGTGTTGTTCAGTTGTATATTTTAAATTTGTGATGTTTTTGTATTGCTTTATATTATATTTTTAGCACCATATTTGTTCATTTCACACTTGTTCTTCTTAGGTGCACTATACTTGCCTATTGTTATTTTAAACAATAGATTCTATCCAGTCTCTGTTAAGTTATGTTACAATCTCATCTTTTTTTGAAAGTAAAAAATAATGCAAAAAATTAATTTGTTATAATTAATCTCTGCCTACTTTATATATAACCAAAAGTTGTAGCAGTAATGTATTAGATAGAAAAACAAACTTCAGTTCTTGTTTTTAAAATATTTTCTTATAGTTTATCTCTATCAGCTTTATAAATGACTTGTTCTAAAAGTAATCAAATTAACAAAAAATAGTAATTATATAATTGTTTTAAAAATATAATCTCTGCTTTCTATATAAATGGGTAGAAATTCTAGTGATATTGTAATTAAAAGGACTTGTTTTTTAAATGATACTTTTAAAAATATTTTCTTTATGTTCATTAGTTAATCTCTGCCATTTTTATAGATAATAAGTTCTAATGAATTGTAATCTAATTAGGAAAAAGCAATTTAAATTCTTATTTTTTAAATAATGCTTTGAAATATATTTTATTTTAATAATCCCTCCCCTCTGTATAAATAAAAATAAGTTCTTGTGATAATCTGAATAATGTTCTTATCTTAAACATTTTGTTATTATTAATCTGTGGACCCTCCATGAAAGTCAGTAAGTTCTAATGGTAATTAGAAAAAGAAACAAGCTTAATTCTTTGTTTTTTTTATATAATGTCTATAAAATATTTTGTTATGATTATGCTTCATGCTATTTAAGAAGGACATCACATTATAATCATCATCTAACCAAGGAAAACAACTTAAACACTTGTTTTCCTTTTAAATAATACAAAAATATTTTCTTACAACACTTTTAATTAGAAATATTTCATTTTCTTCTGTATTAAAATTTACTTTATGATTTTACATTATCAAATTATTACTTAATATTATCCAATTTCATAGGGTTCAAGCAGTTTTAAATAGAAAAAAAAGTATTAATTAAAAATAAATATATTCTGAAAAGTTTTAAATTTAACTACTTTTTCATTAAGAGAGAATTTTGTTTTTGAGTTAAAAAACTAGAATTTATTTCTGTCTCTATTCCTAATCTAATCCTAAATAAATACGTCAAGTATTTATTTTGCTGCTATTTTCAGTTTTCACAGATGTATATATTTTATAGTTTCACAAAGTACCTTTACATTTTTAATGCCATTTAAAGCTAACAGGTAAATTTTTTCATTGAATAAGAATTTGTTAGATAAATATTTTGCACATTTTCTTAAAGTGTATTATTTATTTATTTTACTATTCAGGATTGAACATCTCTTGAATATAATTAAAGGAAGTTTGCTTTATTATAGCAAATCCAATGTAGTGATAATGTAGCTCTTAAAGCTTTTTTTTTAAATTTATATCTCAAACTTAATATAAATCATCTTTAAAAAGACATGGTAGACACATGAAGAAAAAGCAGCTTATCCTACTGACGGTTCTGCACCTGAAAAGTTGTACTTTAACATATATTCTTCTCTGCATAGCATAACCGGTTTTTCCATGTTATTAGATAGGGAAATAGTGTATAGGGGAGAAACATTTTACCAATTTTGCCCATCTGCTAAACTGTCAGTGGGTTAAACAAAAGCAGAGTAAATGGATAAAATAAAATAAAAAATGTAAAACACATAATAAATGTAAAGTGACAAAGGTTTGCTCATTTTGTTAGCTGGCCTAAGCCAAATTGGTATGTAAGTATCTAAAAAAAAAACAACAACTATGTTTTCTATTTTTTTTTTTTATTTAAAAAAAGAAAAAAAAATCTTCTACTTGGGGCATATCTTGCAAGAAACTGATATTGCCGATGATTTCAATTCTGTATAGATAAATTAAATTTATCTTAAAACTAATTTTTATTTATTTTATAGGAAATAGATGAGCTCTTAGGTGGAAAACTCACAGAAGAAGATGAAGATGCTGTATTAGATGAATTAGAGTCCCTTATTGCAGAAAGCTTACCCACTCCACCTACTGCTGATGATAAGCAAATACCTGCTGAAGAAGAATTGGACTTGCCAGATGTTCCTACAGAAGATTTACCCGGTAATTTTACCATATGTGTTTTTAAATCTTAATTGTTTTAGTTTTTTTTTTAAAAGTCACTCTAAAACTTATAAATTAATGATTTTTTACTGTACCATTTTCTTAAGCCAAGTTTATGTCTCTCAATATTAAAAATAAATAATATATAAAGTTCAAATTTGCAAGTTGTCAGTAAATAAATGTATGTCTGATCTCGCTACTAGCTTTATATGTTACTTATTAAATTTTATTTAGCATTTTTTTTTTTAGAAATTTTTTTGTATCTTCTTATATTTATGTGTTCTTTGTTTGATATGTTTTATTTTTAATTCTTTTTGTACTCCTCACACTCTTGTATTAATATATTTTGCTTTGGTTACATTGATATAATATTAGAAAGCACTCTAATCTGCGTATATAATTATATAAGCTGATGACAAGATTATATCTTTTTATTATTTTATTTTTAGGCTTTTTAATTATTATTTCTTAAGTATTTAAAATAATTTTTCTTTTTTTAAACAAATATTTATCCTTTTTATTTATTTATTTGTTTTCTTCGTATTTTTATCTTATATGGATTCCATGTGTTTTCAGCTTCTGCGCAGTTAATAAAACTTATTAATTTTCTTTGTGAATTTCTTTTTTCTTTTAATTCTTTTTTGGCTTTTTATCATGTTTTATATATATATATATGTTACCGAGAATAACTGAAATCAAGAGTAAGCCAATTTTCACCAGTTAATGTCAACAACCGCATAGTCACTTTGGTGAATGTCTGAAATCTTTGTTTTATCCCATTTGATATGAATTTATTCATTGATATTATTATGTTTATTCGATAGATTAGGAGAATTATCAGTGTTCAGAGTACCACTTAAATGCATAGTGGTACTCAACCTTAAAAAAACATTGATGTAGGTCATACCAGGCAGCGGCACTGAGCTTTAAAACTTCAGAGAAGTGAATACCGGGCAAGTGTATACTGGGCAATGACATTTAATCAGAACTAGTGTATATTTTGGACATTTACCAAAGCGATTATGTGATTGTTGACATTTACCGGTGGAAGTCAACTACCACCAATTTTAACCATTCACAATAACATATACACTTTAGCTGCTAAAGTCTTTTTCAATCGTAATTTATTGATAGTCCTTCTAACCTTTCTTGATATGTATGTTAATTGCTTGACCTAAGCGCTTCTAAAGCTGTAAATTAAGTATTTTGTGATTAATATAAAAATAAAGTTTTAGTATAGAAGTGTTTCCGTATTGTCCAACCCATATATAACACACACCTGAAAAACCGTTTTCCCATTTAATAGCAAAGAACATTTTTTTATTTCTGAGAAAACAACTATGTTCTCTTTTGAGTTGATGGCCCTTATTTTGTAAGCTCTTTATTTCACCACTCTCAAAAGCTGCTAAATGAATAAAATAGACCTATTTCATATTCTTTATCTTATTAAATTTTTCTTTTAATTTTTAATCCTTGTCATTCATCTGATTGGCTAAGGAACTCGATCTAAGCATTACCATATAACTAAGACATTTTCTAAAATGAAAAATGTTAACTTATATCATTTTCCAATATTCTATGAATTGTATTTTTTAGTTAATTATAATTTATTTGAAATGAAGGAATTATAAAAATGTGTTTTTCATTTGTAGTCTATAAGTCAATTGATATAAGTTTATGTAGGGTTTATTTGTAGTTTAAATCAAGTTTTAAAAAAAAATCTTAAGTGTTGAAAAAAAGTCAGACAATTTTTGTTCAAATAATTAATTTGAATAATTTTTTAAAAATTGAAGGTAAACGTTTCTTTTAAAAAAATAATTTATATATTTTTTTGGTAAATATTTTAAAAACCTTTTTTTTTTCTTTTTCGTATTTACTTGCTGATTTTGCTTAATGATTTGCAGTATTTTTTTTTAAAGAAAAACATGAAGTAATGTTGGCCAATATTATTATTGATACCAAATTCTGGCATGATTTCCCTTTCTTGCAGCATTACAAAACAGGAGAAAAAATATAATTATAGTTTAGCTCCATGGTGCCTTTTTTCTTAAAATTATTAATAAAGGTGATATTATTTGCGAAAATTAAAAAATCATTTAAATATTTCAAAACTTATGTTGGATTTTTATTCTACAAAAAATATTTTTATATGTTTTTATCTAGGGGTTCATACTTGTCTGATATTCTTGTTGAAAAATATTTTTTTTCTACTGCTGCTGATGAAAAATATTTTTTTCTCCTGATTTTTCTACTGAAAAACTTTTTTCCCTAATATTTTTGAATTTGGTCCTTTTGAATTTAGTGATTTTCTATAAACTATTATTTAACACTGCACATATTATTTATAATTTAAATTTTTTAAAACTATGTTATTGCTTTTGTTTTTCTTTACTGCTTGGGTAAAAGGAGTTAAGTCAGCACAAGTTGACTAAGATAAAGCTTAACTTTAAAATTCAACGATTATTTATTTTTATTTATTTCATTTATAAGGCTGCATTTAAACCTCATGTGAACCAAAACAGGACTTGACTTCTTTTTCCCGAATTGCAAAAATTTAAAACATGTAAATTGTATGCTAATTTTATTTATTTATTTTAAAATTGTAGAACCAAAGAAAAAAGTGCCGAAAATTGAAACTCGGACATTAGTGGAAGCATCATGATAAAATGTGAAGTGCTTAAGTAAAAATTGTTTGTGAGTGGATGTATGTACGGTTTATAAACGTTGCTATAAAATTTTATTTCTTTTAATAAAAATATAATTTTTTTTTTTAAATCGAGAATTTCAACTGTAAAAATTTTGTATGGTGAAAAAATTTTTTGCCTTATACTACTAATTTTTTTTGATTTATTGATCAGTATTGATAATTATGTACATATGTTTATATGTAAATTTGAATAATAAAATTTTTCAAAGTGTTATGCTTTGTGAAAACTTATTTATAAAAAAAGTGTATTCATTCATTGCACTGCTTAAACTATCTAATTAATGATGTTAATAAAGTAGCGCTTATCTTGAAATAACCATACTAAAAGGAGAAAAAATAAAGAGGTTGTATTTCAAAGATTACATGTTAAGTCCTAAAAACGCATATAGAAAGTATAAGATAGAATGTGTAATAGTTAATCATTATTAAATTTTTTTCGTGATCTAGGGCAATTGCTTTGGCAAGTGAAAGAAAACTATTATTTCAAATTCAATATTCAAATAATTTTTTTATAACCAGAAAACTTAATTACATAAATACATGCTTTATTAAAGATTTTAACAAAAATGAATAATAACTGTTCCAATTATTGATACATAATATTACGAGTATTACTTTATTTAAAGTGATTCATCATCAATATAAATATAGTCTTCTTCATTAGCTGTGTTTACACTTCAATCATGCCAATTTGTCCTTGAAGTTTAATAATATGAAATGAATTTCAAGAAGTTCATCATATGTTTCCTCTTTCATCTTGCCACAGTTCTGCCTGTTGGTTTTAATAAAGACCTGCTTCTCATTTTCTTATATTAATGGCATTAAATTCTGTATCTTTGTCATACTCATACTTAAATTGTATGAAACAAGGTTTCAACTTTTCTAATTTTATCCAATGCATTTTTAACCAATTTACTGGTTAAACCCAACTCTGCTACATTTTGCAAGATATTTTCAATTTCAAACTTCATTTTCCACCCTTTGATATCAAACCGAAAAATCTCTTGATCATTTTATAATGGGTAATCAAGAAAAGAGTTCTTTGTCAGAAACTAGCTATTTTATCATGATCATGCAAAGTCTTTGCAAATTTATTTCGCGTTTTTTTAACGTACATAGTACATATTTTTTGAGTGCTTAAAAAGTATTTAAAAGGTGCTTATTTTTTGTTGAAAGATTTGGCTGTGAAAAAAGCATTTTATTTCTTACTCTATCATTCCTAAAATTTGGCGGCACAGTGGTTGAGAATCACTGCTTTTAGGCCTAAATCCTTAGCCATATTCAGTCTTTTACAAGAGATCGCCCTTTTTGAATTTTGTCATTCTTATTATGTCATGTCACTGTCTGACGACCCATTTTTTATTTGTAGAGTATTGCTTACAAGTACTGTATGTTTGGACCGTTGCTTGAAATGCAAATTAAATTTAGTCGAAAATGCCTTGTAATATTATTTTTCTTTCACTGGCTCTATATTTCCTTCTCCTTTTGCGCAGTGTTGAGTTTGTACATTTTCTTAAATATTTAAGTTCGGATTTAAGTATTTTCTCCTGGATATACGGTCTTGTATACGCAGGAACTGAGTGTATATGACCTAAGAGATAAATTCCATCGATTTTATTGCCTGGAACATGGTGTCCACGGCGATCAATCAACAATGAAACTTGTTCTTAACAACAACTGTCGTATAGTCTACAACTAATCTGATAAGTATCCTTAAAAATTAAATCCAAACCGAAACATTATCTTTTCCGCTTCTTCGAAAATAATACATGAAATAATGTGATTTTGTAATTTTACTGTTATTCTTTTGACGCGTTCTTTTTATTTCTTTAATTTTAACAAGTCCTCTTAATAAGATATTTTGATCAAGCTGGGTCTGATAAAATGCCTTCATGGCAACTTTCCTTTCACATGAAATGATTTTTTTCGTCGCACTCTTGTCGACGTCCACGTGGTAGATTATTTAAATGTTTTATTTTTCCGGCATAAAATGTCCACTTCTATGACTGTATCCTATGACTATGACCATTCTATTAGACATTTCGATCCTATTCAGCACCTATACAGTTTCTTTTTCATTTTCAAATTATTTGTTGGGATTTTTTCATTTCTATAATCAGATGATGAATCCGAATAAATATACAATTATTTTTTTAGAATCCAGCTTTCTGCCTTTATGTTGAATTAAGAGCAACCAGTTTCATTATTTTCCTTATTTGAATAATTCTTATTAACATTTTCTATTTTAATAATATGACGATATAATTTTTTTCCTAAAAGAAACAGCACACACTAAAATTTAAATTTATAAGTACTTGCTTCTGGGGCAATTCAAATATATCTGATTTATAATTTATATTTCTCGTACTTGACTCCTGTGAGCGATAACAGTTCTCGCCTAATTGAGACAATAAAGTTTAACTTGACCTTTATTATAATTTAAATACATAATAGGATTGAGTTCATCAGATTAGCCGTTCGATTAAATTATTTATTATTCAATGGCTGGAAAAATTTTGTCATTTAGTGGTGTTAATACTTAATATTAGGCAAATTTGTTTTGAATATATACAGGATGGAACGAATGAAGTGATTTGATATTAAAATTTCATGAATTTGAGAAAATGGAGTTAATCGATTTGGCAAGTGAAAGCATTCATATTCTGTTCAAACACTTTTAGGTTTCCTAAACATTCTACAATTCGCGATCGCAACGTTCGAGCACGCCCTCTAGCGGGAGCCTGAAAATATCGGGCATTAATTCCATCATAACCATTGGCAATGACGGACGCCATTTTCTTAGCAGCAAATAAGAAGCAAAATTTCCCCAAGGAAAAGGCTGAAGAACTTGAAAAAACTAACCAGAACATGCCAAACATTGAAGCAGAACACACCAAGAATTTGAAGAACAAATTCTCAATAATTTTTATCTTTCTATTATCAACAACATAACTTCCGATTTCATGATAACTTGCTGTTACAGATGTGTGTGTTACCGTAAAATAATTTTTTCTATCTTCAATTCATTACAAATTAAAGTGAAGTCATCATTGTTCCGTCATTCCAATGAATAAAGTGAATTCAGTACGTACAGAACTGTGATAGTTATAGAATATTCTTCTCTTTATAGAATAATATATATTTCTGTATCTATATAATTCTGAAAACAACAATAAAGAATCATCCGAACTACTTGAAATAGTTTTATTTGTGATGATTATTAGTAAATTTTTATCGTTTTCTTGGTAAATATTTTTTAGTTTTGAATGAATAATTTCAACTAGAATTCAGCTATTCTGTTTTTAAATTACATATTGAAATTTATATCGAGATCTTGCAATTATAAAATTTTATTGTGTGGTATGTCCTCTTAAAGTATAATTGTTGTTGTAGTTCATTTACGTCACACTGGAGCTGCGCAATGGGCTATTGGCGACGGTCTGGAAAACATCCCTGAGGATGATCCGAAGACATGCCATCACAATTTTGATCCTCAGCAGAGGGGATGGCTCATCCGCTTCGGTAGCCCGACGACCTGCACGCGAAGTCGAGCACTTTACAGTAGAACAGTTTAACGAGGACCAATACCGCACATCCTCGGTCCGTCCGCTGACTGATCCAAATGGTCACCCACCTGCACACTGGCCGTAGCCAGTGATGCTTGACTTCGGTGATCTGCTGGGAACCGTGTCTTAACGATCAGTCCACTGCGGGACTCTAAAGTAATGAAGGGATAATCTATGTATATATTATTTGAGAACAAAGTTTTCAAACGAAGAACATTTCATTTGGAATTCTCCGGGTTTATAAAGAAGGTGAGTGTCTTGATTTTTATAATAAAAAATTTGCTTGTAAATATTTTTTTTTCCTTATTTGATGATAGTTCTCTACTCAATGGTTTTTTACGTCTGATNAATTGGGTATAATATGAAAAAAACACAACTACTTCGATTTAGTAGGAACAACATATGACGCAATGCTAAACGAATGGAATTTAGTTGTTGTTTATTTAGTTATTGTTATTAGTAGTTGTTGTTATTTGTTTTAGTTGTTGTTGTTTATTTAGTTGTATTTAGTTTCAATAACTTTTCTTTATAATGCAATAAAATCTGGCGAGCAGCTATTTAAACGATCGAACACTTCGTTTGTTTATTTGTGGCTTGAAGTTAGGCTCGCAGAAAATGCCGTTCATGGGTTAAATTTAGTAGGAACAACACAACCTGTGACGTAAACTATATTATACCCAATTCTTTGTTTTACTTTTTTTAGTTTATGATTTTCAGATAAAAATTGTTGTCAAGACACTTTTTTTGAAAAATTAAATGGTATAACATTATGTGTTTATGTATACTTCTTGCATATTCTAATGTTTGAAGCAATATGATTTAGGAAAGTATGGAATAAAATCTCAGTACTTATGTATTAATGCCACCGCAGCTACAGAATTGGCGGTTTTTAAGTGTCGCCAATCGACACCTAAAATTTTTGCAACAAATCATAAAATGAAACACTTTATTTAAAACCAAAGTAGTCAATCGGATTTCGATGGGAAAGGGACCGATATAGAGTTTAACATAGATTCAAAACAATCTCTATTTTATTTTCTATCTTAGCAATCTCTATTTCTGTCGCCATATTAACTCTAATAAGTAAGATTCCAAATGAAGTAACATTTCCAAAGCGTACTTTTACCAAGATAAAGTTTCATGTCATGGGAATTGGTACACTTTCGTTTTTTTGGTAAAATATTTTGCTCCTGAAAATTGCATCTGAAAATTGCTCCTGAAATTGCAGCTTGTTTTGCTATTGACAAATCCTAAAGACGAATTTTCGTAGCACTAAAAAATGGCGTAAAAAAAGAATTGATTTTTTTTTAAAATTTTTTTTTGTTTTGTTTTGTTTTGTAAGCATTCTTTATTTTACGTTTTTTAGTTTCTAAATAATACTTTTCATTGAAACTTAAAATTTTTTGATAAATATTGTTGTCAAAAAACTTTTTTTACAAAATTAAATTTTATAAAATTATGAGGCTTATGTATACTTTTTGTTCATTTTAATTTTTGAAGTAATATGATTCTTAAAACTATGGAATATAAAGTTTAAATAAGCCTTTCATGTTATATCATCAAATTTAGTAGAACTATTTCTTAGGCATTAGGTTTTAACTTTTATAAGAATATAAATTTTTTTTTCTGTTTATTTACAAATATTTTTCCGATGTGTTTTGGATGTTCCTTCTCTAAAAAAAAAAAAAAAAAGATTTACCATTTTGTTTTCGTTTGCATAAGAAAGAATTTTAAAAAATTTTCTTTTTTAAATTTAATAAGTCACATTAAAGAAGGAAGGTTACAATGCTACACGCTACATTAAAGACGTCTCCAGAGTAAATGAATGACTGTTCATATAGAAATCGCGTCTCATACAACAACGCCCCTTATAGTTCGTTGCGATCGCGAATTTAAAATGCAAATTATAAATTGCGTAAAATTTTAATTTTAATTTTGTAATTCATAAAAAAATGTAAAGGGAGAGATTGCTGATAGGTAAAAACCATTAAAAGAACAAGGCTATGGAGTTGAACATTAGTAGTCGTAAACCCTTAAAATTGAGTCGGCTGTTCAACGGCGGTTATAAAAAGAAATTTAAAAAAAAAACCCTGTTCTGAGAAACTTGCAGTCGTATCGTGGCATATATATAACTAATCAATAATCAAGGAGAAGTGAAACATGTCACTCGTATGATTTTAGAACAGTTTGTTCCATTATCCTGAAACTTGGAAAAAGGTAGCATGAGGCTTTTTCAGCCTCCTGTCCCGAAAATCAATCAAAAATTTCGATTAAATCGTTCAGGAGAGACCTTAGAAAAAATGGAATTTTTTCATTGTTTTAGAATAAATAAAATTACAGACTATTCTGTTTTATTTATCAAATATTTAAACGGTTACATTATTCCTATTTGCACCGTTATAACTCTCACTCACAAAAAAAGAGTTTATTGTACGTTCTTCAATGTATAATTATTTTTTTATTCGTTATATCATATAAACTCAATGGTCAACATGAACGCAATTGGTGGGGACTACGCCGCAAAATTAGTAACTCGAATGTTTTATAAGACCATGAGCTTATTTTTTTTAAACGTTTTTATATAAATCTAAATAATTTGAAACCAACTGTAATTGAAATGAAAAATGTGTTGCTTTCTGAAAAAAGAAGCAAAATTAATAATGAAATAATACCAATTTACGTAACATTAAATATCTTCATACTTCTAGGAGGCTTCGCCCCCTGCTCGCTGGCGCTCGCCAACCCCCGGAACTGCTTTCGCAGTTCATTACGGATTGCTTCGCAATGCAATGCTCGCTTTGCTCGCTCATTGGATACGTTCTTAAGGTCTAGCTTTTGCATACTTTTTTGAATACTGAAGTTCCGAAAACTTTTCACTGTACAAAATTCTAAACCTGTACATTTCAATATTAATTTGAAAATGCAAGCAGTTCACATATTTTTCTTAATCACACTATTCTAAATTTCAGTTGTTGAGAAAAGTAACTGTTGTAAGTTTTGTTTCAAAGTCTTTCCTACCAGAGGGCTAAAGCCATGTGTTGTAAAACAATATGAAATAGTAGTCTGCCACTGAACGCCGGATGTAAAGCATCGGCTTTGATGAAGATAATTTTGTATTTTTAATTCTCTGAAGGGCACCACCTTAATAATGGAACTCCTGGTT